GCATTTACACCAAACACACACATATTTGAACATGCTCCTAATTAAAATCTAGAAAATATGTTCCTAATTAAAATCTAGAAAATTATCACAACTTTACTAGCTAGATTACTTCCCATCCCTGTATCTCGAAGTTACTATCATCTCACTTCTAATAGATTTGCTATATCTTACCAGTAAGATTTATTTTCTAACTTTACATAAAACTCAACTCTGAATGCATTTTTTAAAGCCATCATTATCCCAAGCACATGGCATAGAATTGTATTTATGTTACAATGAAACCTCATATTTTTCAGTCTGTATTTAAAAGTAGCTAACATTTTTCTATCCAAATCAATCTGCTTCTCAGCAGTCAGTGCTTTTTTTCTAGTGTTTTCAGCATCTGTTCTGCTTTTTCTTACCTCTCTCGCCTCACTTACACGTATAAATGTCCATTTATAAGCTTCCAGCTGAAATAGACGCCAAACTTAATCCAATTGCATAAATTCACAACATAAGCTGCAAAAAGTACATCACTGCATGCCTCAAGAATTCACAGCCTCTCTTAAAGACAGAATCCCTGAAATTGTACTGGAAAGATTCAGTACTTTATTTCCACAGATGTGCAGTGAGGTTTTTGTTCTTGCTGTGGGCACTTGATTTCTGATATAAGTGTTGAGGTGTGACTTGCAGGGGCAGAGTTCAAGGTCATTTATTTTCTAGTCTTAGTGAGCTAGGAATTGACGCCCTATCTGCTAAGCAGAAGTAAGGGTCAGGAAACCTTGAAATAGAAGATAGTAGCACTACAGATCACATTAAGAACAAATAAACAATGAAAACATTGAAAAATAATAATAATTAAAATAAAAGCAATGGGAGCAAAGGTAATGGGAAGCCTTAAAAACCTGTTTTGGGCTAAAGCCATTGAGTTCTCTGGAAGTTTTGAGGTCTTATAAGGTTGGAAGTGTCACACTGTTTTGGATGTCTGGTCAAGCCCTGGTTCAAAAACTAGAAAGCAGTAACTTACAGATTGATTCTGATTGTTAATGTACAGACATCAACTGAGATGGGATATTGGCTGTAAAATCTGACACATTCTGACAGGTGGAACACACATTTAAAGTGTTTGGGTTTTGGAGGAAGGAAGCAGACAGCAGCATTGAATGACAGAAATGTTAAACATCAAAGATAAGGATTTTTTTTTTTTCCCTTCAGATGGTATGTTTATTTTTTCTTAATGATAAAGTTTAAAGCCACTTATGTATTTTGACAATGTTTTTTCATCACAAGAACAAAAAGTAAGAGCAGCAATTAGCAATTTTGAATGACTTAATCAATGAGATAATTAAAAATTCTTACCTTACAGAATTTTAATTTTTAATATAAAAAAGAAATTTATAATTGGATATAGAATAGTATTAGCATTTTCAAATGCTGCTAGATTGAGAAACGGCTGCTTTTTGTTTGTCAGTTCAAGTATCCCTCTGGAAACAGCTGCAATATTTGAATTGTAATTCTAGTTGGCAGCAAAAACTGGTCACCATGTCAGAACTGTTCTGACAGAGTAAATGACTGAAGGAAGAAACCTGCAGGGAAGTAACTTCATTTTTTTTAGAAAAAAGTAGCTCTACTTTTTTAAAGAAATGTTGGCCGAGCTTGCATCAGTGGGGTCCCATGGGTTCCCCTGACCACCATCCCCATCTTTAAATAAATAACAAGCTACCTCCAGTGACAAACACTTACCCACCCATCACTGCTGCAGCATTCTGGACCACTGATGCTTCTGCCACCAGCTAAAGTTCACAATTTGTCAGCTCAAGAGCCTATCCTTTGCTAATGGATTACTTTTGAAATGTCTGCTCAAAGTGGAAGGTTTTATTTATTTACTTAGTTATTCTAAAGAGGTGTACAAGCAACACACTGTTTGGACTCTGGTTTCCTGTAACAGAGTCCCCAGTCTTCTTGATCATTGCTTTCCAAGTCTCCACAGGAATAGGCAATGAGGGTGTGTCAGTGCCCAGCCTGCACAGCCAAGTTCTTTTTTCTCCCTTGAAGACCCTCTCAGGCCTGGCAAGAGAACCATGGCAGGCTTGCAAGTACTATACTAAAGCCACAGACTAAGGCATCCACTGAATGAGGCATCACTACCCTCCCACAGACATCCTGAGCCCTGGTCCCCAGTGACAACTTCATCCTTTTCATCTCTTAGTAACAGAATAGTCCCTCCACAAAGGTGCTGTGAAGAGCAGTAAAATGACATGACTGACACTTTCAGGTACGATTGTATTGTAAGTCACAGGCAAATCACTTGTACTCTTACTCAGGAAAGGTTTTGAAATCCTTTTGAGGAATGCAGTGATGACTGAGACAAAGGGAAATACACTTACATAGCAAGACTCTGGGTGCAAGTTGGTGCTCCCTTTGTCACCTCTAGCAGGCAGGTGAAGAAAAGGGCCTCTAAGGTAAGCTGCTCCCTGATGGATAGAGAAATATGCACAGCTGGAGCATGCGGCTGATTGAATCTTAGGGCCCCAGAAAAATGTGAATCTGTGATGTGGGGAGTGGGTAGGAAGGGGGAGAAGCAGGGTGGATGTACGGGTCACAGAAATTTCTGTTGCAACACCATCCTCATCAAAGACAACACAGTGGTAAACGATGCAGAAGAACAACTCCCTGAGCTCTTACAGGGCTTTACAAACTTCCACCAAAAAGAAACTTTTTACAAGTGAACCACTTATTTCATTTAAATATGTAGCCTGTATAATCAGAGTCTTTGAAGTAGGGAGACAGATGATCAGGATTTGCCTTTTGATCTTTCCAAATTGTTTTAGCAAGTAACAACTATGCCTGAAGTCTTTTCTGGGAAACTTTATTAGCAACGATGTTTACAACAATCTTAGAGACCAAGGTTCTCTTAGCACTGCTAAGTAATCTTCCAGAAATTGAAATCTTACAAAGCGAACTTAGGGTCTACAAATAACATAATGAATTTTATGTAAATTCAGTTGAAATCCCCAAACAAATCAGCTACAATTCTATTCAATGCTCTGTACATATTCACATTAAAAATATTCACAGGATCTGTTGGATTCACCCAGATACCAGTCTTGCTCTCTATTCATCTACTTGTACCCAACTCAAGTCAATGGATCTTGAAAGGGAACCTCTAGCTCAGAGAACAGAGAACAGGCTCTGAAGCAAAAAAGGACTGACTTTATCATCAGCAAACCAGACACCCCTTAACACCTACAAAAGAGCAGCACAAGCTGTCTAGTCATAAACTACAGCTGTTTCACTGATTAGCACAAGTGCAATGATAATTTTTACCAAGGCAACTTGAAGAGGCTTCCCCTCCTTGGTGACTGTTGTAAAGGACTGTGCTCACATTTCACATTCTACACAACTCCTGAAATCAACAGGAACATTCACAGCCACTACTTTTAGACAGCCCATACACAGAAAGACACTGTGGTTTGAATAAAGGAAACAGGATTTTTTTTTTACCTTTTGTTTCTTGTTCTGAAGACAAAGAAAACAAAAATGCTTCAGGCAATCTTCCTAGCCCACACTTACACAGTAAAAAAGGGAAAATAGCCCACTTGTAAAAACACAGGTATCACCAACATATTATTGAGGAAAGCCTAAAACGCATTAACTACAGTAACTGGAATGCAGTAACTATTTCAAAAGTTTGCTTTTCCCAAGCAATTTCCAGGTCAAAGAAGAAAAAAAGAAGTCTTGCATTCCTCCCCCAATACAGCCTATCTGATAAATTCAATATATTTTAATGAAAATATTTATGAATAAGACTGCAGTCTTCTTACAGCTGAAAATTGAAATTGTATATTGGAATAATTAAAGCAATGTTAAAACTATGAGCTAACAATTCCACTAGGGTTCTCTGGTGATGTCAAATATGCTGAAATTTGATAAGCAATCATACACCTCAAAATTTTTATTAATTAAACATATGAAATTTGCCATAGTTAAGAGGGAAAAATAAAATAATGGTTTACACAATTACACTTGACCCTCTAGCACTGCACCATTTCATCTTACTGCTAGAAGCAGGTGGGCAATTATACAAAAGAATTTGAAATACAAAAGTCTTGTGGACAGGAGACTTGCTGGAGCTTTTCAAGCTTCCTACTCTTGAGAAGCATTTCAGCTTTTTATTTACTGACTGAAGCGAAAAGAAGTTACAATCACTTCTCAAAAGTCAAATGGCAGCAGCATTCAGCAGAGAGCAGCTCCCCGCTTTTACCTTGTTTTTATTCCCTTCATTATTATCACTCTCTAAATTACAGAATGTGGGGTTTTTTTTGTTGGGTTTTTTTTTTTTTTAATTTCTTCTCTCATCCTCTGAAATAGATTTTAAGCATCAATCCATTAGGAAAAGGCAATCATAGAGCTGGGAGAAGTGAGGTAGTATTGTGTGCTCAAGTGTAAACCCCCCCGCCCCCCCCTTATTTAAGTGCATCTCACATTGTAAGTGTAGAAAAGTATGCTTCTGAAAATACACATATTGATTACCTCAGAAGTGAAACTCTGGGAAGACATTTGTGTAGTCTGAATTTTTCAGCTTCATTTGGTGTGTACTTTGGCACCTGCAATGAAGTGCTTCTCCTGATGTCCATCCCACACCTACAGAGAGGTGCTCCAGACAAATGCTGAAGAAGCTGCTCAGGGCACAGTGGCTGTCAGGCAGAAGTTTTCTTTCATGAGTTGGCAGGAATTCCTTGGGCCAGACTCATGCATCCATGCTGCCCCATACTTTAACACATACAACTGTGGGACATGTGGGACATGCTTAAATGACTGGCCAAAAAGGATCTTTTCTTCTTTCAGGAAGAAAATGCACAGCTAAGGAAAATAAGGGTTCAATCTGTTTTGCGTATCAGAAAGGAAAGATGAAAAATGACTACACAATACCTACCAAGGGACTGTATTAACTGAGAACCAACTTAATGGAAATGAATGGCTTGAAGCAGCAATATTAAAAGAACAAACAACACTGATAACCAGTGGGAAAAAATACCAACAGACACAGTGGATTTTTAATTTCTGGTGCTGTTCAGAGTTTTTATAGAAGAAACATCTGTCTGTCTAATACAAGCCACAGACACCAAAAAAACCCAAGGAAACTGGGTGACTTAAAACTGCACACCACTTTATGAATAAATTCTGCTCTTCTTTTGACAAAAACTGTTTCCAATGAACCTCTCTGGAACAGCACCCATATAGAGTGTTTCTAATACATAATTTCACAGTAATGGCCACACTGGTATCTTCCTGTCAAAGAAATCCATTAAAGTAGACACCAGCCTGACAGAACAAGAAGCTCAGAAAGAAACTAAACTTGTTAATGTAAACTACATGTACATTCTCTACAAAAACTGCCATTCTCTTGCTTCATAATTATCTTCTCCTTCAAGTCTTGTAACAGTGATTTAAAAAAAAACTACTCAATCTTCCACACACATCTGTGACACATTTCAGATGTGTCATCCACTGTTCAAAGCAAAACTGAGTATCTCCTTTTAATTACTGTACCATTTTGTGTAAAAAGGGCCTGAACTTTAAAGCTCCAGTTTAGCAGACTCAAGAAGTAAATTTAGCTGCAAAATGTAAGTTACGTACATGCTTAAGTGCTCAGCTGAATCAGTTTTTCATAAGACTTTCCTCTGCTTCACAGCACAGTTCATGCAATAACTTGGCTGGTCACTGACAACACAGCACTTAGACATAGGAGACAACTGTTAAACAGCTTTTCCTCCTATTAGATTTTGAAATTAATCCTTTATTACTTCAAACAAGACAGTAAAAATAATAAAAATAATAAACAATCAATAATATTTTACTTTTCATAAAAATTAAAAGGATTTAAACCCAATATTATTAAAAAGCTAAACTTAAAAACAATTTCAAGAAATACTGTATTTGCACACAGTTTTAAAGGAAGATATTACATTTTTCTTTTTGATATCAACAGGCACTCTTCATTCATCTGCAAGAAACTAGGTTAGGTCTCCATAGGCCACAGTCAGAGTTATTAAGTAAGTAAATATGCCACTGCTTTTGTGCCCTTTATTTCTTTGCTTCTTCAGTCTCCTCTGACTCTCTCTCTTGATGCTCTCTTTCCCACCTCAATTCTTTCAACTCTTGTCTGTACTTCCGTTCAATGAACCGTTTCTGATGGGCCATCTGAGGAAAGTTATCTGGCACAAAGAAAAATATTTTACGTTAATAAACAAACTGGTAACAGAGAAAGCCTCAGCTCATTTTGTTTTAAACTTTGATGTTATTAGAGGTAGGGGGAAAGAATGTTGTTCCCATTTTTACTCATTTATTTCTTATAATACATTGTAAACCAGGACTGTTTTATAAGACTTTGGTTTCTTCATGATTTCTTTACATCTGTTTCTCCTGCTACAAGGCACTGCCAAATCTAATATACTCACAAAAACAAAATATAAAATCCTGGTATAGCGACATGGCCAGGTATTACCTGGATTTTACATTCTGTTCCCTTAGCAACAGGTGGTCGATACTGAAAAATGAATGTGAAACTACTGTCAATGCTGTCAGGGATTTTTGTCTCGCTCTCACTCCAAAAAGTACGAGCCACTAGTTTCAAGCATTGCACAGATGTTTCCATTATTTTTATTATTGTTTTAGACCATGCAGAAGAAACTATATGCCCCACACTATGGCGGGGATCCTAATGAGAAAGTAATAGTGTAGCAAAATGGAATGCAGTTAAGTCTGTTCCTGAAAAAGTTAATGCTTGGCTATGTACCGGAAGGCAACTTTAGCATAGTCTAACAGCATGGATGAGTGAAGACTGCCTGAAACAGACTGGACAAGGCTGAGGTGATGGAGAAATAGCTGGGGAGATGGATGCTTCTGCTTTCAGGCATTTGTCCATCGGCTGATGTGTAGGTGCACATTAGTACTGAGAGTGTAAGAACAGCTTATGTAAGAGAACAGAATTGCTCTCACTTTAGTGCACGGCTCACAGAATGTGATGTTTTCTGCATGACCAGGGTGCTGACATCCACATGTGTCTGTGCTGTGGAGACCTGCACCCTCCAGGCAGTCAGAAAGCAAAGGGGTGGCAGAGTATGTGACAGGCTGCAGTTGGTGGTGAATCCTGCTGGGATCACACCGAGCTCTGGGATCAGCACTGGCTACCTAATCATTCTACACTGACCTTTAAAGCCATAAATTTGGTAGATGTCTCAGCAAAGGACTGCTCTCTCTCTCGCTGGCTATTGAGAGAGAATTCAGCTGCGGCTTCTCAGGGAGGAGTACCCTGGCATCAAGCTTTTTCCTCCTTGGCACCAAGCTTTTTCCTCCTTTTTCTGGGTCCTAGGGAGCACGGATTCTCAGCTAGAGAATGTGGTGCAGAAGCCACATAAACTGCAGGAGTTTGTGGTAGAGCAGAATAACTTTCTACTGCTTTGTTTTATTGGCCAGTGAAATTTGTGCCCCTTATTATACAATACAGGAATAAAAGTTATTTACAACATCAGTTGTATTTACAACATCAGTTATTTACAACTTGAGCATAGGAGAGTATATTTATTTAAACCAGAAAGCAATCTAAACAAAAATGGTTTTAAATTGCTGTTGTTTTTAAAAACATTAGTGCTTTGTTTAATGGAGTTCTGGGATATTTTGTTGCTCACATGACCCATAAAATGAAAATCAGATGTTCAGCACTGCTTGTAACATGATTCTTTAAGAACTCAGCTTGGTAGCAACCTGTTCTAATATGTTTAGGATGATAAGAAGGAAACTCATGCAATAAATTCATCATGGCTATCATCTAAATAGATATATGAAAACTACTTTCACTTGAAGTTAACTACTTATGCATTAAAAAGCCCAACAAACAAACCAAACCAAACATCTCTACTGCACCACCATATACATAATCCAACAGGGGCCCTTAAGGGTTGTGTAACCTCCATCCCAAAAGACAATAAAAACTTGACTGGCAAGGCACAGAGAAACTAACTTGAAAGTTGGCTCTGTTTCAAATTGAAGGGCAACAGGAGCACAAACCTCTAGAGTTCTATGGTATTTAAACAAATATATATGTCAAAAGATAGCTGTGAAGTCCTTGGATTGATAAGCCATGAAACTCACAGCTCTCTTGAGTGGTGATACTGTCACAAGAAAATTCACTCAAAGAAAACTTCAGTAACATCTTGCAGATACTAAGCAGAGAAGGGAAGTTACATTTTTCTACTTGTCAAATTTACTGGTGGTGAGAAGTATATGCTTAGCAGATGGATATAAAAACATATCTGAACTACACAAATTCATTGCCTTCTGAAATATTTAAGCCCTTGAATTTCCAGATGCAGAGATAACAGATTAAAAACCTTTGACATCTGAGAAACTGCATGTGTTTCCTTTGAATGAAATGGAAAAATGGACTTCCCATGTTCTTTTCAATAGAGAATTTCTGCTGCACAAGATGCCTGTAATCTGTTTGCTTACAGGTCACCCACACCTGGCACCTTAAGCTAACTGGCCAAAGTTATTTAATATAAGAAGCTTGCTCACACTCATTCATATCTGGGACTACATTTCAATGAAGGACTGCTCCCATGCTGGCTAAGCAGCATGTAATTTAGAGAGATGTATACATAGATCCCTGGATCTGCAGCTGATATCTTAGCCCTTCTCAACAGATAAATATTGATTTAAATTGTTGGGGATCTGCCTCTCAGATTTTAACCTAGTCTACTGATAATCTGGGATCAAGTTTTATTTTCTAAGGTTTCACTTTGTTCCTCCCCTGAATTAAAGGGTGAGACAACCTGAGCATCAGAGACTATGCAGTCTTATCCCTCTGCATGCATAAGCACGGAAAAGCTCAATGAAACTTTACTGCACAGGGTTCCCTTGAAGTTGCATCCTCTGTAGCTGATCAGCTCCCCTTAACAAATAAATACCTGTTGGGATCATATTAACTTCAACTGCTACAAAACTGTCTTGAAAGTACTAAGAGAAAAAACTGCTGCTTAGGAGGTGACAGCACTTAGCATATGTGTTCTGTTCCAAACTTATCCCCCACAAAATCTGCACCTTGCCTCACTAAAGAACTAGGAAATACACAATGAATTCTCTGTTGCCCAAATATCTTACATTTTTCAAGTGCGTCCATTGCAGCTCCCATTTCTGCTTGCTGAATACTGTGAAAGCCAAACAAAAACATGTTACATGAGATCTAAGCTGTACAGAATAAACTAAAGTTTCTGACAAAGTGAAGCACTAGTTACTCTTTTGCAATGAAACTTTTTAGATAATCAGAAGCTTGTAATTCTCAGAGTGTATGATATATCAGCCATTCCATAAATACGTGAGCAACAGTACTACAGCTCCAGTAGAGTATTTCTTAAGTTAGACCAATAACATTAGCAAAATATTCCAGTCCATTCTTCACTTAAGCATTTGCTTTTACATAAGAGAAAAAAAGCAACAAAATCACAGATGCGTGTATGTTTAAAAAAGCAATGACATTTTTATAACCAACACCAGATTTGGTAGCATAAAATGAGGTTTTTGGGGTTCATGGTTGAAGTCTTTGAACTCTTAGAATAATTCTAAAATGCCTAGAAGTAGTAACCTCAGGGGAAAAAAAAGGGTAATAGTGTGGTACTCTTAACTTGCCGGGTAAGCTGCATAGTAATCCAACAGAAAATACCAAAATAAAGATACCATTTTCTGAAAGTTGTTCTGCACTTACTACTCCAAGAGCCACAAATAGTTAGCATTGCCAGCCACCTTGAAGGAAAGTTCACCAAAAAAATCTTAAGATCCAAAATTACACCAACACTGAATCCTTCAGGTATTCCTAAAGCAGAGAAATTTGAAGAAGGCTCTACAGCTTTCTTTTCCTAAGGCAGACCATACAACAGTCTATCTCCATGGCTTGTTATTTTGGATACCACCACACTCTAACACCATATGATTAATTTTTTACTATACCTTGGACCTTTACCACATCCTATTCTTTCCCCTTTGAAATAGACAGCTACTGTGTACGTCCTGGCATGAGAAGGTCCCACTGTCTGCAAGGTCCTGAAAGAAGAAATATTTTATTCAAGCAGGGAGCATTAAAACACAGAATCTGTTTGTGGCACATAGCTCACCAAGCTTTCAGTCTGGTCAATACATATAGTGCAATTAATGCAAAACATTGAGCAATGCCAGAAGGATGTCTGTGTAGATCACATTAACCCAGAGATTACCGGAAAAGTATTGATCACGCTTATTACTCCAGGCTCACTCAAGAGCACCACCTGAAAATTAAAACTATTTAACCTAAAGGCAAAAATGCAAACTGTTACATGAAGTGTTCAAACACTGTGAAAACACTTGTAATAAAGTAATAAATTATGCACAGCTGTGCAATTGCAAGTAAACACACCCATACAATTATGTGTGCACTAGAAGTTTAGTCGCTGAGAGTTTTGCAGGTAGCAAGGTTTTATAAGGAATTTGTATTAGACATGGTAGTTCTCAACACTGAATTATCACAGTACAAAGAAATTTTCCATCAGCTTTCAAAAGTTAGTTTGTCACAAAACAAACTTTCCATTTGACCTGAAGTCTAGGACATACATCAACAACCATCTAAATGGGAAAAGGTAATTCCCTAGCTGTGCAATGAATTGCTTCTTTTGCAGTTTCTTACTGCTGTCCCAAATCTCTTCCCACTTTCAGATCAAGTTCTGTCTGCTACCTTGTTTCTTATTAGAAGGAGCACAAATTTCACATCAATTTTTAAAGTATCTAACTAAAGTACTCTCTCTCCCTGCACTGTGACATGAGCAAATAAAACCTACCCTAAATTTAAAAGCAATAGTACTGACTGCAGTGAAACAGATAACCCAAGAAAAGGAATTTAACAAGATAATAGGAAGATAACAGCAGATTACTAGGTCTGAGCTGTACTGTAAAAATCAATCTATCATTACAGCAAAACAAAACAAACATTTGGTACTTGATATTAAGTGGTTTTTACAAAAATCGGAAATTGTTTTTTATTGAATTCGCCCCCCTCACCCAAGACAAAGCCCTGAACCCTCACACAGACAGACTAAGGAGTCAGACCTGCAGTGCACTGGCTGCAGTGTTAAGGGGATGGCACTTCTCAAGGGCCATGTGTGTCACTGTCACTGAACTGCTACGCTGCATTTGAAACCTTACTTCAGTATCTGTGACAAATGCACTTCCACCATTCTTCATACCTTTTTCATATAATAATCCAAACAAGCCTTAAATTTTCATAGCCTTTATCTCTTCTTTTGGGGCTAACATTGCACCCTTTCCTACACTAATTGAATGGATATGGATGCAATATACAGCCTAAGGTTTATTATTTATTATCTTTTTGAAGCAGCTATTACACTATTTATCAACTGGAAGAGAAAAGGGAGCTCTATGCCATCCAGCTTCAGATATCTAACTGAGGTGTACAAGTTAAAAGGTTCACTGCCCTGAGCTCTTTGTCATTGAACACGGGAACATTTGTCAGCTGAACCGCACAGCAACAACATCCAAAACTTGTGCTGCCCTTCAGTGCCTGACTGTGGATGAGAAACAGTGCCTGTAATGGGGAGGTGTAACATAAGGCATTATTATGTTTGCTTAATAATATCAAGAAACTTCATCTGTTACTGAGAATAGAATGGAAATATCTTGACCTGATAACAAAACAGCCATTTGTTTGACTCTTTTCATTTAATACTGCCATTCCTTACATTAAAAGAAAAACAAATATAGAATTATGCCAATTAAATACACTCCAAAATAAAAACTATTTTTCCCCTTACAACTGTAAAGATAAAATGCTTAATAATTCTTCCTTGCAACGGCTTAAAACAGCTAAGCCTTAGAAAATAGCATTTTCCATCTTCAGTCAAAGAAAGATGATAGGGCCTGGATAATGACAATAAAAGCAAACTATGGGGAAAATGTAAGGTGACTGATTACATCTTCCTCCATGAACAAGGAAGTTTTATAAGTAGCTGGTATCCATAAGAAGCCTGTTCTTACTTGTAAAGAGGAATGTCCGGCTCTTTTCCTTCTGTCCTGAGAGTCAAGCAGCACTGCTGAAGCTGAGATTTAGGATCATTCCAATCCTGATTTAATATAAACTCCTGTAGGAAGTCCACAAAGATGCTTTTATGATTGAGAGATTGTAGTAAAAGTTTCAAATGCTACCCGTGTGTTAAAACACAGTGGCAGGAAAGTAGGAAACTGACTGGCCTTACCTTTAGCCGTGGAAAAAAGCAAACATTCATGAAAGTGTGAACGTATTCCAAATCTTTATCAATGTAAAGGGCAGCAATAAAAGCTGGGGGGAAAAAAAGGTACTGTCACTCCTCCAAGAAGAGCATTACTGGCTTGCACTTTTAGAAACAAGTATCTCTGAGTACTTTAAAGCCATATTCAATTACGTTTCAGAGTAGTAATCTGATAAGGGTTTTATCCTGCATACTTGGGAAAAAAAAATCAAGTTGACCAAGAGATTAAGTGATTTACCCAAATCCACACAGTAATTTAAAGTGCTAGAAACAACACTCTGCTCCTAATCTCACATTTTAACCAGAAGACCATGAACACTTACAAATAAATCACTACTGGGTACCATAAAATAATTTTATATAAATCATTCCTATTTGTGTGCTATTTTCTTTTGTTTACAGGATTTTGCAAAAGCCAAGTGGTCTGAATAGCTTCTAAAATACATCAAAATATACAAGATGGGGATTAACTTTCTTTGCAGAACATTTATCACTATTTCCAGTTCATAGGAAAGAAGGTAGCACAAACTTCCAAAAAACAACTAAAAATAATTTAATTTCCATGTGGCCTTTCCTCTTGTGGAGTGACCACTTTAAAACCTTCTCAAATGCAGATAATGAACCACAGAAATATCCACCTACTGAAGGAACTAATGGTCTTCCAACAGAGTCAAGAACATACTAATTAAACACTAAAACTGCTGTTAAATAGCTCAACTCAGAGTATAAGGTTTAACTTTGAAGACATGATTTTTGACCTGGTCATCCCAACCCCTCAATTTCTAAGCCTTCAACTTTCTATCTGCAATTCTGCCTCCTTCATGCTTTTATACAGACCTCAATATCTAGGCTAGTCTTCAGAAATCTGGCTTTCAGAGGTATAGGCATAATTCATTTGGAAATCTGAACATACATTTTTAATAGCAATTTAGGGGATTTCTAATGGCTTTCTTAAACAAGCCCCAAGGAAAAGGAAGTCATTAAGTACTACGTTATTATAACCAAATTAACTCACATTCTAAGAGATCAGCCAAAGTCTTAGTTCGAAGAGTTACAGGTCTTTTTGTCTTGTCATTAGTGATGGCAAATTCTTGCATGCCCAGCTCTTCTGCCACCTTGGCCTGTGTCCTGTTGTTCACCAAAGAACTTCTCAACAGCTGCAAAAGAAAGAAGTTCCATTCCATAGTAATAATTACCAATAACAAACTACAAAACCTAGGAGAGCTGGAAAGAAAAGGTTATTTTTATCCTTGAGGTTTCTCACTTCTCTCAGTTTACTGACATTTTGATTCAGGACATCTTAAGTGATTTATATAGAGACACACTGTCACTCTTTCTGTTGGTGACTTTTCTTTCTGTTTCAATTCTTCTCACCAATCTTTACTTATTCTATGGACACAATCTTATTCTATTTTTCACTTTTGCTTGCTTTTTTGCTTTAAATGGAACAGCATTAAAGAAGTTACAGCTACTATAGGACACCTTACTTCTATATATATGTCATGCATTTAAAATGCTTGTGAGCTTCCTTGCAATTATGTACCATCTCTTCATGAGTTCTGTACTTTCTTGGCTAATCTGCAGTTTTCTATTTAAGTAATACACAATTGTATACATTTTCCCACATAAAGTGTAAGTAAACAATATTCTGGAGTCCATGGAACAGTCCCCAGTGTCCATCAAATAATAAATTAATATGGGATGACTGAAACAAATACACATTAAAGCAAGCTAGTTCAGTGTTTCAGAATGAGCAGATGAGGAAGCTGTTCCATTCCTTTGGCCAGAGAAAATAATTACGGAGATGGACAGCCCGTATGCACCATTTGCTCTGCTAGAAGGCAGCACTGCTGAGCCAATGCATGCCAGACACAGATCTGCCCTAACATGTTCCACATATGACAATACAGGATGTCAAGGATGTGTCATGAAAATACTTAACCTTGGCTTCAGACAGATTACTTAAACATAGAGCTCTAACAAAGACACAACGCTCCTGCACAGCTTAAAGGAGTATTTTGGAATTTTAGGGAGAATTTCTGAACCTTTAGAGAGGTCAGCGTTTTTCCTGCTTATTTTTTGCTTTAAATGGAACAGCATTAAAAAAGTTACAGCTACTATAGGAGGTAGGAATGAGAAGTAAAGAAAGTCTCTCTTTTCCACAGTTTATGTGCAAGCTAGAGCTGAGATGCTGCACACACATTTTTTCCTTTTTTTGTCTTCCATATCACATTTGCTCAGCTTATTAAATAATAGTTATATGCTACCTGGCTCCAGCATGTCAACTGAGCTTATGAAAAATCAAGATTTATTTGCTGCACTTGATACTTCATCTCTCACAACAGATAAACAAAGAACAGTATGTTCATAATTTGTTTGTCAATGATGTATGAAGCAGATACTCATAACCCGATCTTCGTAAACTAGGCAAACTGTAGATAGTATTATTACCTATGTCCCTAACCTTTCTTTAAACTCATTTACTACTTGTTCCTTTTCAAAATTCTTTCCTTTTACGTCCTTAAGATAAATAAAATAAACTATACTTTCCCCAACAATATCCTAAGTACAGTACCCTAATATGTAACCTATGAGAAAGAAGTGCAGTGTCCCATGACAAAAAGTCTGTTTCTTGTATGAGGAGAAGAAGGATTTATTTTGTTTTCTTTACAGACTATCTATTTTGATGGGATCCATAATCATGATTGGTAGTATCATAAAACAAAAGAGCAACATATACACTACCCAGTGAACTAGAGATAGAAAAAAAACCCCAGTTATCCTCTTAGCACTGTGGTTATCAATTCACTCTGTACTAGAATTCGCCTCTTCTACAAGCGTGACTGGGCAAGAAACTCAATTCCTCTTAATGATACAGAGAAGGCACAGTCCCTGTGCAGCAGCTTTTTTTGGAGTTAGTCTCTACACTGGTAACAGCCTTCATCACTGCAGATGCTGTGACACATGATATGCTCAACTGGAGCTTGACTTCAATTACAAAGCAGTTTTTTCCTAATTCTTCCATCTTCACCCAACATATCACTACTCACTGGTTATGTATCCATAACCCAGTACTGGAGAAGCTGTATCTTCCAACAGCCAAAAAAATGTCAACTTCTTTTCTGGTATGTTATTTGGCCACCCCCAAGTATGGAGATGAGACTATGTTCTCCTTTCTTTTTCTTTAGTATAGTTATTTTACAGACATCTCTCCACAAGCAGTTATTTCACACTGGGAAGCCACTGCATTGCATTCAAGTAGAATCCTTGACCAAAACTGCCCTCAACACACCAGTTAAACATTTAGTTGATGCTCTATTACTACTTCAAATTTAAGTATGTTCCCAGATGACAGGAGAAAGAGCTTAGTGTTTGCTGTTTCTCTTCAGATTCCCCTTTATCAGTTTCCTTTCTCAGATGTCTCATTTCATTTGTCATCAAATTTAAAAACATTTTAAGATAATTTTCTTTTTCTCTACACATAAACACATCTCCAGAGTTCATATTTTATTTTAGGCATTGCCTGCTTCTTCATATTTTTATGCATTTTCAGCATCCGCTCCACTCTAACTTTGCAGTTTTGCCTAAAAAACTGCAGTGTGCAACTTGTACTTTCCAACTCATTAATCATTACATTAAGCAACAAAAAAAGACATTCTAATCATAGTTCTGAGCATTTACACCCATTAACAGCAACATCCCCTATCCTTCTGGCCAAGCAGTTCTTGCAAGAGTTGTAAGACCATGGATGCCTTCATTCTTAAAAATGTAGAAAGCAAAAAACCCCACCGGGCCTTATATCCTGTCTCCTCAGTGGTGCAGAAGAATCCATAGAAATATAACTGAAACTTAAGAAATGGTGAAAAAAACTGCAAGTAACTTTTAGTCACAACATGTACTTTTTTTTCTCTCTTGTAAGAAGCTTTAGTCCAAAAGATTCAAGAATCATATTCCTGATAACACATTGACTGCTAGAGACTTAGCATTGTCATCCCTTTATTGATCTGGGGAAACCACTCTAAAATTAGGCTACTTCCTAACTTTAACTAGAAAACTTGACTCACATTCTTGATACATGTATTGCTTTGCTGATCAAGTAAACCAAGAAAATTTAGTAAGCCCAAGAAAATTCATTACTTCCAAACAAAGACACAATTCTCTAGCTGCAGAGCTAAATGCATCAATCAGGAAAAAACTACTCATACTATCACACTGTGTTTAAAGTACTCTAAACTGTTGAAAGGTCCCCAAACTTAGTTGCCCAAAGCCCAGGTAAGAGAGGTTAAAAAGCTATAGCAGTCAATAGGTGACTATAACTATAATAAAATTAAATTTAAAAGCTACGTCAGGAAGTCCAGATTGAAGACAAGAGGAAAACCAGACCAAAATAAATTGTAAAAACTTTTTATCGGGATGCATAACCCTGCCTGTATGCATGTTCAACAGACTAGAAGTCAGGAATAAAAAAAGTCACATGATACATCTATTTAAATAAATGGTTTAAGACACCCATCTTTAAACAAGAACTAGTCTTAGCCCTCAATTTCATCGCAAAAATCTTTAAGATTTTTGATCCATTTCACAGACCGAACAGAAGTTATTGCAGTGGGCTCATAAATCACCATTTTCTATTCATTGCAGTGCTCATGACTTACAATTAACAAAGCCTTATTAAGACCAGTGGTTGCTGAGGCTTCTTTTATTAATCAAACTCAGAACAATTCACTAGCTGTTCCAATAATTTCCGTCTCCATCCCACTCTTGCTCTTATGGAGAATATGATTGATGGCAGTCTCACCGTTAAGTGCCCTTCATGATGATCAGGGAAATGTATGAATAAATACTCTGTGGCTACCAACTGCATTATGGAGTCACCCAGGAATTCCATCCTCTGGTTGTGGCCTCTGAAAAATGAGACATCAATGCAGCAAAATCAATAAGCACTCATGAGGAAAAAACCAAAACCAGCATGCACACACAAATTAAAATGAAGAGTGATCTGAAAGTGAGCCTTGCTCATTTCCAAACACATTTAAGTCAATTTTTCAGTGTTAATCAGGTGAGATGAAAACACAGCTCATTACTGTAGTGACACAAACTTACAGGCAAAAGGCAAATCAGGATAGCGACAAATAAATGTAATCATTAGATTACAGATCACAGGCTAAATGTAGGAGAAGAGTAGTTAACATCAAATCTGTATTGGGATAAAATCTCTAGCTTAAACTTGCTTTAACAAAATGAATTGATGAATGAAATACTTCAACAGTGAAAAATTTCCATTCACAAGAAAGAAAAGGATCAGGGTTTAAATTCATACAAGATCCTGGAGAGGGTAAGCATTGATATGAAGTTCAACAAAGCCAAGTACCAGATTCTATGTTTGGGTTAGCCCCAGTTGTGTGTATAAAGTGGGGAATGAGACATTGGAGAGCAGCACTGTGGAAATGGACCTGGGGGTCCTGGTCAATGGCAAGTTGAACGTGAGCCAGCAGTGCCCTGGCAGCCAGGAGGGCCAAGCATGTCCTGGGGGCACCAGGCACAGAATGGCCAGGCAGGCAAGGGAGGGGATTGTCCCACTCTGCTTTGAGCTGGGGTGGCCTCACCTCAAATGCTGGGGACAGTTTGGGTGCCACAATATAAAGACAACATTAAGCTGTTAGAGTGTCCAAAGGTGAGCAACTGTGATGGTGAAAGGTCTTGAGGGGAAGCATAGGAGGAGCAGCTGAGGTCACCTCGTTCAGCCTCGAGGGGACTGAGGGGAGGCTTCACTGCAGAGGGGAATGGAGGGACAGATGCCAATCTCTTCACTTTCATGACCAGAGACAGGGCTCAAGGAAACAGCATGGAGCTGAGTCAGGAGAGGTTTAGGTTGGATATCAGGAAGAGGTTTTTCACCCAGAGAGTGGTTTAACACTGGAAAGGCTCCCCAGGGAAGTGGTCACAGCACCAAGCCTGACAGAGTTCAGAATTGTGTGGACAACACTCTCAGGCACATGGTGTAATGCCTGGGGTGTTCTATGCAGGGTCAGGAGTTAGACCTGATGATCCTGATGGGTCACTTCCAACCCAGCATATTCTATAACACTGTTTGCTTGAAAACAGGGCCTGGAAGCTTTGCAAGCAACAGAACACAGGTGCTGTGCTTGGACCAAAGAGCGTAATTTTACTTCTTTTCTCTGACCAAATGTACCTCCAAGTATATTTTGCTACAGTCTCAGGAGTGATGTACAAATATCAGTCACACAGAAAGCTCAAAATAAACACCAGAATAGGTCGCTAACAGCTTTTAAAGTCTTTCCCAAGGTATTTGCTACTTACTGCTGTGAGAGGTGGCATACTAAGCCAGGAGGGCTTGTGAACATAGCTGCTCTATTCCAGGAAATAAATGCAATGTAGTGTGCTTACAAACTAGGCAATCTGGCATACTCTAACAGAAGGGCCAACAGAGCTCCATGAGGACTCTTGCTATGTACTCACAGAGTCAGATGGTTAAAGCCTACTGTCCTCAGAGTGAATGCACGTGCTAGAAGTCGAACATGAGTAAAGATGACTCCAATTGCTTCCTCAAACTCTGTAAGCTTTTGAAGAACCGGAGAGGTCTCAATGAGCTGCCTGTCAGTATTGGACTCCTGTAGCTGCAAGAAAAAATGAAGTGTAAGTAATGACAAACTCAGACTGCTGCAGAAATTTTCAGAGAAAAGCAAGCCTTCTCTAAATCAAGGGCAAAGAATACAATGAACAGGTTTTGTGGACAGCTGAACTGAGAAAACCAAGTTTGGTCTGCCTTATTAACTACCACTCAAGGAAGATATGAGCTCTGATGTATGCTTTTTTAACAGCTAAGGCATTTAGACACATCACTTGCACATGCAAGTGTATCATGCTACAATGTTTGTATTATGCTACAATGCATCCACATTATGCAAATGTGGATGCATTGTAGCATAATACAAACTTTCACAAAAGATGTACAATTGTCTATTTCTGCATTTTCTAACATTATCATATTGTTTGCAACTGAGCAACAGATTAAAAAATTATTAGAATAAGGCTGGTACACTGACAGCATGCCAAGATGAGATAAAGCCCAAATCAATTTCTCCCACCTTCCTTAAGTATCAAAAAATCAAGAATAAATACTTTAAATATGAAATTCAAAAGGGCACACTAACACAAGAAAATTAAAATTATTGCTTTGGGTCAATATCTTTTATCAGTTTCTTGTCTAATGTCCTTACTGTGATGGCACTGTTAAATGCCTTTGTGGAGCTGAGAAATGGCTTAAGCATTTCCTCCACCTATTCTGAGCATCTCTTTGGTACAGTAATGCCTTAGAGGAAGAATTATCCAGAAGAGGAAGCCTAAAAGAAAAGTAAGAATAACCACAGCTTTTTAAACTGTCATTGAGATAATTTTTGTTGTCTACCCCTTTTCTATTAATTGATTACATTCAATTTTTCTGTTTTCTGTACAGAGCATTCAGTTCACAATTTCATAGAACTACATACCCTTGCACCAAAAATCCACACCTGGGTGATAACTGTGATTTTGGAGTTCAGCTGCATGTGGAGCAGAGACTGCTTTTTGCTTACTCATGCACAGCCCTTTCTATTCACCTACACAGAATTTCTTCTGCCTTTTTAAACTCCACAGTGAGTCACCCTCACATTCTCACAACCAGAGTGCAATTCTTCAGTCTGCTGTTGTCCCTGCTACCTGAAATAATTTGGTACTGTCAGCAAACTGCTCATCCTCTTCCCTAGGCTGTCAATGAGAACAGCCTGTACTTTAGCAAAGATCCCAAGGGAAATCTGCCAGTGATCACCATTCCTTGCAAGATGTGGTCATTTCACTCCTGTTCTCCATTTCTTTTGTTTCAGCCATCCCTTTTAATCTGGTAGGGATTGACATTTTTCATTAGAGTTGTTTTTTTTTAATTGCTTCTTAAAAAAAAAGATAAAATTTTCAAAGTCTTTCCTGATTGTCTTTCCAACAGCCTCTCAGGAAAGCCAGCAGACAGTATCACCTGCATTATCACATGCGGTTTTGTCTCCTAAAACTTCCCATACATCTGTGAGGCAGGACTTGTCTTGACATGCTGACTCCTTCTAGAGTCCATATGTATCCAGATGACCACTAATTATTTTTTAGAACTATTTCTATAGACTTAGCTACTGCCAAATACACCAAAATAAAGATCTGTAACTCTGTTATCTTATCCAGTGCTTTTTTTTTATTGATTGGGATATTATTTGTCATATTGTTACAGTGATTTTTAGTAATTTTTTAAAAAGCAATTTTTCAGGCTAGCTGTGTCAAAAGGCCAGCCTGAGCTGCCTGTGTTTCACCTACTGGCAAAACCTCCTAGGATAGTTTTGGAATGTGGAAGAAAACAATTTTCATCACACAAGTCAAGGCAGTAGCAAGAAATTGTAAGCTAACTACACTGACTGTTGCTAATTTCTAAGCAGAATCCAAGTCTTCTTTGTGAAAACAGGGATGAAAAGATTAAAATAAAGTAAGAGCAAATAAAGAAATTCAGAGTAAGAACAATATTCTTTCGAGCTGCATGTGCCACCACACAGAGCAGCTAGTGCTGAATCTCAAAATGTTATCTTCTATTAAAAGTATTTTGTATTTATATTCAGAGGGATGTGGTTGTAAAAATTCCTCACATGCACTGATTTGTTGATGAAGATTTTGTCTGTGCATTCACTGCTCTTCTTGCAGCACTCTTGCACTGAAGACAAGGAGTGACAGTGCAGAGAGGCTCTGAGACTTGCTCTATGTCTGCCCAAGAATTCAGTACGGGAGAATGGACTCAGACATCAATCTCCCAACTTCAAGCCTCATAAACCCACAGCTCGTGAACTTGTATCCTTCAATACATGGAGGACAAGTTAGCCTCCAGACACCTTCATAATTTTAGTGTTTACATGGTATTAGAATTACTGGAATCACTGAAACAACCACACTATCATTGCATGGGCATGCACACACAAAATCAAAATCGAATCAAATCAAAACTTTTATGGCATGCAATTAATGTGCCTTCCTACTATTAAAGTTTCAGTCCTAATTTCAGGTTAAAAAAATATGTTCATTGATTGTTTTTGCACCCTCTCCCTCCAGCTTCCAACTTAGAGAAGACAAACAAGAAGCTGTCAAAACATTACCCCTCGTTTGATTTACTGTATAGTCACAGTTATACAACAAACATGAGCAAAGGAAAGGTGAATGATTAATTCTGAGAGAGGCAAAAACTCACTACTTATTTATAAAAACCAACCAAACAAATCACAAACCAAACACAAAGGAAAACATATATATATTCCTCTGGCTACTCTTTAGCACAATTTCTGAGATGTCATCACAATGGAGACCTATGGAAAAGCATCCTTGAAAATAAAACAGAACTGTGAAATTTATTACAGAAAGGGATACACTTACTTGGAGTGGGTGTAGTGGATAATTAAGCCATACATCCCGCAGGTCCTGCAAACATTGAGAGATGCCTTTAATGCTCAAGGGAGTCATTTAACAAATTCCACAGTACTAAATAAAATGTCATTACTTGAAATACTGAACTATTTCAGATGCTGACTCTGCTTATTGCAAATTCAATAGTGCTGGCAAACTAATTTTTAAAATCGTGTATTTGCTGTTCAAACTGCCTGTAGTTCTCCCAATTAGCTTATGTCAAAGAGGTGGAAAAATCCTTGAACCACATAAAAAGTGGTTAAAGGAAGAAAAAAATTTGTTTAAGCCTCAGGACTAACTTTATTTGCAAGCACTCCTCAGTAGCAAATTTGACTTCTCCAAAGGAAAGGACTGAAAAGAAAAAAAAACCCACTTATTTTCTTCTGTTTCATAAAGGCTTCCTTCACTACAGCCAACGAGCAAAAAAAAAAAAAAGTGAATTACAATAGACTTCCAAACACTTTTATTTCTAATAAGCTTTGTAATTTCAGAGTCTTAAAGAAAGGAAAATATACAATTCATCTCTCACCACTGCCACATGTGCTGTCCCAGCAGTGGGTACTTTCCTTCACCTTTATACAGCACATGTTCTAACTAACAACCATCTAAGATACAGCTTGATCTATTCTTGCACACTGTAATCGTGCAATTGGGTAAATGTTAAATGAAACACTGTCCTTTATTCTTTTTTTTAACCCCAAATATATGTTTAAAGCTTTTAAATCATCCTAGGGTAGGATGATTTAATTGAAGAAACAGAATAGTTGTTTAACATGTGCATCATTCCCTCAGACCCTGATGCCTGGATCTGCAGCATCCATTTATGTTTTCAGAACATTCCACTTTGAATGGAAGCTGTCAGTTTTCCCACACCAGCCATCCTTCCCTACCCAAGCCAAGCAACCTAATGCACATCTGAGAAAACACCATAATTTTTTTGCCTGGATCAGTACAGCTTGCTGTCCTAATGCAATTTCTAGGAACTGCATAAAACAGTATTTCTGTTCATTTCTAATCCTTAAGTAAAACAATGAACAGGAAAGTACATCAAGTTATTTTTGAACTGGAAATCCAACCATGTAAGTACATAAATACCTTTTCATTGAAGAGCAAACGTCCAAATAATTGTTTTGCTTCTTCTAGGCTTCCCTCCAGATAAACAGCTCCTGCATGAGGGGACCAATATGTCAAAGGTCAATAATGCAATTAGTACGTAGAAAATTACTAAGCATGAGAAAGTCAAAGATCTTGGACTTCTTCATCTTCAATATTAATTTTTAAAAGCATGCTTTCTGTAGCAACAACTATTTTTTAGAGGAATTTAAAGCATCAGCATAAATCAACAGTCATAAAGTGCAAAGAAAAACCTGAAATAATTATATCAGTGATAGAAAATGATAAATCCATTCATTTTCTTTGCAGTGACTAGTACAGGGATAGGTTTTCCATTTTTGCTGAGCACAGGGTTGATATAACAGATGTTTTTGTTATTGCTGAGTAGGGCTCACACAGAGTCAAAGCCTTTTCTTTTGGTACTGCCACAGTATTGGCAGTATTGGAGAGGAGACCAAGGGTGCTTGGGATGCTGGGAGGAGACACAGTCAGGACAGGACCCAAAATGACCAAAGGGATATTCCAGACTGTATGACATCATGCTCAGTATATGAATTGCAGGGAAGAAGGAGGAAAGGGGTATACTGGGAGTGACAGTATTTGTCTTCCCAAGTCACCATTAAGTGAGACAGGGCCCGCTTTCCTGGAGATGGCTGAACAGCTGCCTGCCCATGAGAAGGAATGAAATGATTTCTTGTTTTGCTTTGCTTCTTTGCACACCTTTCCCTATGAAACTGTCTTTATCTCAGCCCATGACTTTTCCAGCTTTTACCCTTCTGATTCTCTCCTCAATCTCACTGGTGGAGGAGTAAGCAAGTGGCTGTGTGGGGCTTGGCTGTTGGCTGGGGATAAACCACAACAACATTTGCAGATAGGGAAATCAATGAAATACATTTCAGTAACTAGCAAACAATTACCATTTATTCTATTATACTTCCAATGAGATTACACTCTGCATATAAACGATGTGTCAAGACTATTGTAAAGCTCAAGGTCTTCCTTTAGCTTCCTTCCTTATTGGCATCACAATAATTTATTGTCTGAACTGGAAAGGGCATCTCTGCTTGTCTCAGTTTCTGAAGATTATGTTTTGGTTTCTTTTAAACTTCACACACAGCCCTCACTAGCTCTCTCTCCACATTTCTATCATTAACAAGCACTGAAAAACTTGTGTTAACATATTATAATGTATCTTATATCCTCTGTATCTGAACAGAGGATAACAGATCTGAACAAAACAGAGATCTGAACAAAATTCTTATATTTAGTATCAACATTTCATCCTCTAGTAACATTTTACATGAGAACTTCTGAAAATCTCAAACTTGCTATTGTAAGCATAAAACCAAATGGAATACACAGCTGCATCAAGAACACACAGACAGGGAGTACATGCTCCCACATTCAGGAAGAATATGATTTGCCTTGCCTTTCCCTTCCCCTTTGATTCCTGACTAGGTCAACTATTTTCTTTGGACTCTTCAAAGAAAAGTTTGGGGTTTTATAAGACTAATCTTGAAGAGGCAAATTATGAGAGCACAAAATTTTAAACAATTCCTAAGCAGCCTGCTCATACTTCTGTTTCTTATGTTCATCACAGGGACTTTGTGATGAAGTACAAGACTTTGTAGAAGAGCCTCAAGTAGAAGCTCCAGACCCTACATATACTTTTATAGTCCCTTAACAAGCTCCCAGATTTTAGCTACAGCACTGACAAAATCTTATTGCTCAATTAACTTGCTGAACAGCTTTGTATTGGAGGTTAAACAGCAAGCCTGCTCTCTCAGCAAATCTCAATGCTTGCCAAATAGTTCTCATCACTACATCCTAGACAAGCTGAAGCCTATGAACAAAGACACAGATACATATCTAGCATTCCTCCTGTTTGCTTTTTATTTTTAAATTAAAGATCAAAGCATTCATGGAAAGCAAAACAGAGTTAAAAAGAAAACTCTTATTTCTTGATAAGAGGAAATGCAATCTGGCCCAAGGCAGAATGCACAGAACTACTGACATCTAAGCCAACTATGATCTATTCTTCAAAGCAGGACAAAATGCTTTAGGAGCTCATGTAGTACATAAAGACCTGCATCAGGGCTAAACCATTCCCATAGCTACAAACTTGTACAGTACATCTCAATGAATACTAAGTCAACCCAGTGAGACTAACTTGCTTTGTGTACTCAAACATGTAAAGTTTCATAAAAATATGCTATTTAAAATAGAGCTTGTGCAGATGTAATCAATGAGATTTTCACCCTCCTGGCTTGGTAACTGTGGTCAGGCCCTGATTTCCTCTGCAATACAAACCTATAGACCAGTGCAGCCAGTCATAATCAACATCTTAGAGCCCAACAGCAAATTTGACACAACTCTCCTTCACCCTCAGTTAGAGGGTAGCTTTATTACATTAGCCATGGCATATTGTCATGCTTTTTACCTGCAAGAAAAATGCCAAGACTAAAAGGTATTTACTTTGCAAATTCACAAAAGGCTAGCAGGGCACAGCGGAAGTTGTCTGGTGACTCAGCTGGGAGTGCCTGATGCATTCAGAAGGCAAGCTGCAATTTAAAATTCAGGGCTGAGGTTGCAGGTCTGTTCAAGCACTACTGGAAGCAGTGAAGCTGCTTATCTTCTGCCAGGCCATGGTGACTGAACTGCTCCCCTCAGACAGGGGGCAGATGTCAGGCCATGTTGACACAGGAGAGGTGAAGTTCTGCAGTGACATGAAACAGCTCCACCTTCAGTGTGTGGGAGCCAGGATACGGAAGATGAGACTTTCATGGTTGTACTACACACTCACTGTGTTTATACATGTGGCATATGTGCAGGAGTGGGGAAGGGACAAAGATGATGCAAGAAGCTTTACTATTGCCTACTCCTACTAGCACTACTCAACTACATCTCCTCCATCACAGACAACACAGCACACAGACATGTATAAAATCTACCTGCCTGCACACACAAATGCAAACACATTACCTATTAGGGCTTCAAAGCAGTTGGCCATGGCATGGCGGAGATCTGACTCCCTGCAAAGGTCTGGACCATGAGCATAGAGCATGAATCGTTCTAGCTCCAGCTTCTGCAAAATATGTAGAAAGAGTTAAAACTTAAAAGCATGGCTTTAGAAATACAGGAGTACCAGTTTAGTCACTGAAGTTCAATTACAATGCCATCATGCAGCTACTAGGTTTGAAGGAACTATGAAGCTTTTCTCTATAGCTTCAGTTTAGACACAGGCTAAAATTAAAAAATTTCCTTTGTTTATCAGAGGTAAACAACTGGAGTGTGATACCATTTAAAAACTAGAATTATCAAACCAAAAGCAGCTAAGCATAACAGTGAGGAATAGGAATTCCGGTGGACACAATCCACTGAACATCTGTTTTTTTCCTCTAAGACCATAAACAGGTGATAGCCTCTGGGCACTGCAAGAAAAGGTTCATATTTTAATCTGCAGTGCCACCTAGCTTCCTCCTTCCTTTCAAAAGTGCATCATTAACTCTCATCTGTTGCTTGAACTATAGTTCTGCTTCCCAGTCAAAATCTCAGACAGTAAGCCAGATATTTTCTATAATATATGATAATTCTGCTATAGAAATGCAGGCCAGAACTGCTAGATTCTCTGTATATATTCGTCTTTTTGACACAAAACCATTATTGGAATTTTTAAGGAAGGGATTTATGCATCTTGCGAGGTTTGTATGAGAACAGGCTCTTCCCAGCTGGGTGTAAGTTGCTACTGATTAATTTCCTGTTAACTTTTAACTTCATCCTCCCAGAGTATATTTAAGAGGTAAAGCTGGAGACGGAGTTGTTTGAGATGCATGGTTTAGACATGTTTCAATTGCCAAAAAGAGATTTCCATTTTCCATGAATGGCAGCCTCTTCACTGCTCCAGAACACTGTGAATTACGACTGACAGTGTTCCATCATGCTTTATAATGCACAGTTGAGCACTTCCTAGAGTCAACGTAAGAGTAGAGTATTAATTGTTTTATATAAAATTTCAACTTCTTATACTCATCATTTGTTTCTTAGTTATGAATAGAATTACACAAGTTCAAGACACATTGAGAGGCTGAGAGTTATATTAAGTGAACTGAATGCAACATGACACTACAGGGGATGAAACCAGGAACATCATGTAAGACACATGAGAGGAAAACTGGGAATATACAGATATCTAATATTTATAGCTGCATCTACAGTTTTTAAAATACTGTAATAAAAATTTTCAAAAATTGTCCTTGTACAATGATAAAGGCTGTGAACAGACTTGAAGAATATACGAGCTGTCTTGATGCAGGTTTAAAAATAGCATAACTAATTCAAATGTCAGGCAATACCATATTTGTAAACAAGGTCCTGATATGAAAAGTTTCAATCAATTCATGCTTATCTAAATTAATAAAGAAAGACGTGGCAGAAAATTATTGTGTTCACAGCCTACCCTATGCCTCTCCTGAGAGCTGAGGAAAAAAATGGTATGTTAAAAATCCTGCAGTTTTTGCCAAAATCCCAAGATTAGATAAGCTTGTTTGGGGCACTGTGTGATTACAGAGAGGAAAGCTTAAAAGTGCAACTTGAAAACCACAGCAGACAGTGTGTGCACATGTGTGGCATAATCAATTATATCAGTAAGTCTCAGACTGTTTCTTATAAAAAAAAGCTAACAAAATCAATAATGAATAAGTGAATACCTACCTATTTATGAATAGATTGAATCAAATTTCTGTATCATAATACCACACACCAATAGCATATATAGAAATACAAAAAGCTCTGTCATTCACAGAACTAAATTAAATAAAATTATAAGGCATCCTAACTTTTCCTAGGAGGGAACACAACTCTTCTCCAAAACCCTGTTTAATATACTGCTGACTACCCTGAGAGTCTACAGTGGACCTGAAAATGATTGCATAGGTTATTGAGCAGATGACATTTTTCCCCCCATATTTTCTACCTCCTGTTTTCATGTTCTCCCTATATACTCTATTGGAAAGTTCTCTTATAAACAACTTCTTCACTGAAGTTCTACTGTCAACCTCATTACTTGTACAAATTAAAGGCAAGTATAGGCACACCTTCAACAAAGGCTAAAAACTTACCTTTATGCCTGCAAAAATCACTTTTCCCAAAATCATGCTTTGGAGAAAACACTAAGTTCTCCTTTATCTTTAAAATCTACTTTCAAACTGAAAAGGGTTCCTGCACCCCCAATCTTGTACACAAAACACAGCAAAAAAGTGATGTTCAAAGCAGGCAGCTCCCTCAAGAAACAGTCCAGGCACTCATAGTATTCTACCCATGGATGTCAGACACAGAGAGCTGTACCTTAGCCAGCATGGCCAGGTGTTGGTTCTGTACGATGGCAGTGCGGTACGTAGCTAATCCTCCTTCCTCCAGAGTGGGAAACAGGTAGTATAAGTGGACACTGGCAAAACAAAAAGCAAACCAGATCCTGTTAGCATTTGATTAAAGATGAACCACATACACCTGTAGAGAACTGTGCCCTTCCCTCAGACCCTAGTGGGTAATATGGGTCCCTTCCCAAAGTGGAACTCAGCTTGAAGTAAGGTAAAGATACAAACATTCAAACAATGCCCAATCTGACCAGATAGCATTGGCAGCAGAGCAGGAAGAGCACTGCTTCTCTGCCGGACAGCACATAGTTCCTAAATCCCCATCCCAGCCTCCAGTTCCCTCATCTCAGGTTTCTGTCTATCAGCAGCAGCAGAAGGTTCAGCACAGCTGACACCTAGAGGATGCTGAGGAATGAAGCACAAGGGAAGCCTCAGCCTTGAGAACCGTGCTGCTGTGGGTACACAGTGCTTTCAGGTGATGCTGCTGCCAACAGGGTATCTATCTGTTTATACATGTTTCTTAAAGCACTTTAACAGATGCTAATGGAAACAAAGAACAGAACTCAACAGCCTGGATTTATCAAATGTGTGAAGTCATTATTCCACAAACAAGAAAAAAAAAAAAAAGAAAGTAAAAATCACAGGCTTTTAACATCCTTTAATGCTATTTGTCATCATGCTAGCAAGGCACTTCATAAAACAGAAACAAAACAAAACAAGTAATTCACTGATCCCATCAAGATCCGAGTAACGAGTAACTGATTTTGGATACCTTCATGACTATCTAATGCATGTCAAAAAAAGTTAACACATAGAGGATTTCAACATTCCCGAATTAAGGCACTGTATGGAACTAATTATTAAAATATTTTATTAAGCCAGTAAAACAAGGAGAAAAATGCAGATGGATGCAAGATTATTTAAGGACAAAAACTGCTATAAAACTTAGAGGCAATCCAATCAAGCATCGTAATTCACAACAGCAGACACCTGAAGTTGAGATAGGCAGAAAAAAAAAATCATACTTAAATAGGTGCTTACATGCTCCATTGAACAAAAATGGAGCTCATTTTTTTTCTGAATCGAGACAAAAGTTAGCTTAGAAGGTGAACTGATGGTTGATGAACAATGACAATGAAAAATGCAAGACATTTTAATCAGCAAGTCTTCCATCTTATCAGCCTGTACTGTTGTATGAGAGAAAAGGCCACGAGATTTAAGGGCAGTGGAGACCTTTACAGGCTAATAGTTTTTAATATCATCTAGCTAATGGCTAGTAGAGAACAGAGATATAAAGGAAGCTTTGTTGTTCATGTAACAAACTGGCTTAAAGAGCAAATTAGCAGTAAACAAGACTACACCTCTATTAAAAACAGTAGAACAAAGCAGGTGAAAATAGATTATATTCTTTATATTGTGCAACCTGTTTGTCTCTAGTAAGGTAAGGTAGAACAATGTAGGTAATTAATAATATGTCAGTATTGTTCACTGATTTCAGAACACTCAGGCCAGAACTGGAGCAATTTTTGATGAACCATGGGTATTTTTATTACTTTTGAATAGATTGCGTTTGTGCTTAACTATTTAAGTTGTTATGGAAGCTACAGCCCTAATTACTGGAAATACAAGAAATGCAACACATTCAACATTACCCATATATGCTTCTCCCTCACAACTAGACAAAAAAGAACCCATGGAAACAAAATAGCACGCTAGGAAAAAAATCTTTCCTTTAAAAAAAGGGTATAAAGTTCAACTTGTCTATAGCTGAATAATCTCTAACCCAAATCCATTTAAAATTGCATGCCATGAAACAGAAACTCTTAACTTTTATTTTGTAATCTTTCTTGCTTTATCATGACCACTGGAAGAATTATCAAGAGAGTTGGTGTGCAGGTCTAAATATCAAGCAGGACTGCAAATACACACCATGAAAATAGACAAATATACACAATGAAAGTAGACACTGGAAAGTTCAATAAACACAACACTATAATAATAACATACAAAGGTGAGAACTGTTGAAGAATTCCCCATTTACCTTGTTAAGAACTCCACCACAGCATCTCCCAGAAATTCTAAACGCTCATTGTGGTTAATTCTGAAAAAGGCATTTTAAAGTTCACCATAACCTAAGTAACACATACTGGTTATTTACACAATGCAATTAAAACAGAGAAAAATCAGAGTTGATTGCTAATCAGTCACAATACTAATTTTTGCAACCTCCCACACCCTCTCTGGATTATAATCCTTTCCAAAACAGAGTAATAACTATGTGAATCATGAAATTCAGGACTGACACCACCACTTTCAAAATTTCCATATACTCTGTTCTGAGCTACTGCCAGAGCTTCACAAAACAGGAAAAGGAATCAGGACTGCTGCCTGGCACTGATGTCAAGTTTCTCTGTCCATCAGAGGGCAACAGATGATTGAAACAAACAGCCTGTTCCAAGCCTTGTGCATGACACTAGGGAGCCGTACCTAATTAACATCAACAACTGCAGGGCAGGATGACCCTGCAGCAGATCGTTGCTATGGCAGAGGAAATAGGAACTTGGATTTTTCATAGCACCTTTAAAGGCCTTGTTTTCTGTAACTTCCTCTGAGCCCAAAAGAAAAAATGGCTGTACCAGGAGATGCATCCAAAGATGCCATTAAGTTATTAGAATCTTTTATTTCCTCTGTTTTCTTTCATCACTGCTCCTGATTTACCTTTGTTTTGCTAGAAGTCTCATTTCCTTCAAGCTCTCTGCCTGCTTATATTCAATACATACAAATTTCTGCTCTAGACAAAACAAGGAAGCAGCACCATTTTTGATTTCACACAGAATCAAAGCCATTGCCACAGGACTTTTTTTTTTTTTAATCTAGAAGATCCTTGTCAAGTGTTTGGCAGCTTTTATTGTAATTTTCACTCCCCCAACAATTACTGAATTAGTGTAATTTCTGAAATTGCAGGCCTTTGTTATGGGCTGAAAGAATTCAAGTACCTCTGCTGTACAAAACAGCAATCTGTGAGCAAATCTACAACAACTCTGTGTATCAACATAAATGAATACACACCTCTCTCAAAAATGGGACTTTACATTTTTGTGTTATTTCATAAGAATTAATGTAATTTAGCCTTAGTTATCTTTAGAGGACTCAAATAAGCTTGAAGACAAAAGGGCATGGTCTAGCTGAAATAGCATTGAGGGAACAGTGCAACAATAATTTATGCAGAATTAAATTTCTCCTATTCCCAAGCTTCTTTCAAAATTATGGCTCTTGAATGGTCCAGCTACAGCACTAGCTAAAATACACACTGCCATCTAGTTCATGCATTTAAGAGATTTCACATGCAACTGTTTCTTGCATTAGCTTTGTGAGCTTTGTTTATTCAACCTCAGCTCAATATGGTGCCTGCGGCTGTAAACCACATCTTAAAATATATTTATATGCACAGAATTCTTAGTGGGCATTTACGGATTATTGCATTAAAACATTAATAGGTTTTGCATCTGTCTTTAAATTGGAACAGTAAATCAAGCAAAGCCCATGTTCAGCACCACACTTCTGTTAACAAGGTGCCATGCCAGGAAGGTGCTACTGTGAGAAAACAGTAAAATTGGATGAAGAATCCAATTTATAGCACTGATAACAACAACAACAAATCTTAATTTTTATTCTGCAGAAAACAAAAAGGTAGCCTTTTAGTCCTCCTCATTTCAAGGATCAACAAAAATGATAGTTATCTGTTAAAACCTTCCTCAGATGTTCTCTGCAGGCATGACCAAATATTTACTATGTCACTGCTAATGGAGGTTCAACACACCTTGGTAATATAAAAGTCAATTCAAAATAACTTTTCACTTCAACTATTTGCCAAAGCTGTTGCTGACAATAAGTTGGTTGTTTCTATTAAATATCACCCTCTGCGGCAGCTTCCCTACTTGCAAACAACTATTTTCATTACCTGGAAGGAGCTGGATCATCCTGTCCCAAACGGGACATAATATTTATCAGGGTGTTTATCCCTAAAACATAAACAATGCACTATTAAGTAAACAGGCACTAATTCACTTTGAATAAATGTAGAAAACAATTATTCAAAATGTTACTTTGTAATTGCTGTACACAAGATTATCCTGTTATTTACATGGCTCATTACATAAAATATAATCCTTACCAATGCTCTCTGCCTAACTGACCACAGTCCCATTACAACACTATTGGATTTCTACATTCAACGAGCCAGATAAATACCACCTTTCCATGAAAAGGACATTCTAAACATTATATAAGCAACAAACAATTTACTTCATTATCACTGAGTATACTTTAAAGGGGTGAGGAATATTTTGCAGCAGACAGACTACACGTTCATAGTAGTAAGATGCATTTATAAAATATATTCCAGACCATTCACCATGTTGAGCAGCAAATTAAGAAAACAGTACTTGCCAAAAATCTAAGCAAATACATCCTCCCATTTATTACCCTTCCTCGTTCTCAGTTCTTTACTTATTGACTAATTTGCAAAATCCAGTCTTTTAGAAAGACCTCACTGGTGTCTGCATATAACCATTGAAATTCTCTACTGAAGGCATCTCTCAAAAGAACAATGGCCAAAGAAATGATAAAGGAACAAAGGGTGTTCTTACTGATTAAGTGTGTGGTAAGAGAAAAATGTCAGTGGTGCAAATAGCATACCTTTTTTTCTCATGTGTATATGGTGAACTTTTCTATCTCCATACTTGGGCTGTCGAATCCCACAGTTGGATAAAGAATTTCTGGCATGATCCGGATTCATCCCAAAATTTAAATGATGGCTTGGGTGAGTCATGGCAAGCTATAGTGTAACACATACAGGAAAAAAAGGGCTAAATGCATTTTTGCAAATGAATGAAAAACATTATCTTGGACTGGTAGCTTGTAAAAGTTATTTTTCAGTTTGAAGAAAGGTTACAAAGTGATGCAGTCAAATCAGAAACTTGGTTCCAGCAATTTAAATGTAGTGTGAGCTATTTCAGATGTCAGAAAAAAGCAACATTTATGCTCAATCATCAATTTAACTAATTAGCTTTCAGATTTTTTTCTTTAAAGAAAAATTAGTTTAGAAGAGAAAAAGCATGAACTGTCAATTTGCCTTAAGACTTCTGCTTACCAACTTTGCTGACCTGATTTCAATACATTTGCTTATTTAAAAATATATTCACTCTAACACTGAACTATAAATATTCATATTAAAAAAAGCAATTAAAAGAGCTTCTCAACCATCCATATTTACATTACTTAAGTATCTATAAAATTCTCCTAGCTCAAAAAATGAAACAACAACAAATACATTTTTCTTGGCAGAGATAATCACGGAAGAACTCTTTCCCCCATGACTATAGAGGACTTATTCTTCAAATAGAAGAGAATGACACAATTGGTCCTCTGTATTACCTTTGTACAACCAAGGATTACTAAAAGATTACTCTGCTGCTGACACCACTGCTGCAGAAATGTCAGCAGTAAATAAAACTACAGCTTGTTTTTCAGAACTCCATCCTGCAAACTCATACCTTTTCTCCTTCTTTACACATACACAGATCAAAATACTGTGCTTGTATCAAAGTATCTCCACACAAAACTTGTGTATAAAAAAGAGGAAACACTGGAAAATGCAACCTGCAGAAAGTTACTTCTGGCTCACATGCAGGACTAGTGCTGCAGACTGTGAGCAAAGACAGTAATTCACTCAAATACTGTCTGTTGCTTTCTAAGCATAAAACTTGGAGTAAAATTATATTTAATCAACAATAAGAACTTTCTCCTAGTCCTTTTTAATTCCTTGATAGTCTTACTAAGTTTGTTGTAATTGCACATTCTCAAATTCTGCTCCATCTGGATTCAATGACACATTACAGCTTTTCTGAATAGGTAATTCAGTGTAATCTTTTTTTAACCTGCTTGTACTTTAAAAAGAACATACCATGATAAAATAGGTAACAATCAATGCAGAATTATACATCTAACATTGCCTATGCTCAAGCAGATTATTGATACTATATACATTTTTAAAAAGCTCTTCCTGCCATGGAAAATTGTTTTTAGGTTTTAAATAAATGAGTGTAGGGACAAAGCATTAAACAGCATATTTGTTATAACCAAACATGACTTGATTTTTATGCTCTCATCTCTTTTTGATTAGTATTTACTTGTTGGTTTGTGTGTTTGGCCTCAACATTTTGAAAGTTTCCATCACTGCATTTTTATCTTTGACATTAAAACAAAGACAACCTGCCAACAACCAAATCCTAGAAAATGTTCAATATTTAATGTAACTTGCAGTAGGAAAAGGCCCAGAAAACAAATCGTAGAAACCAGAGAAGCTGTGAGAAAAGACATTTCCTAAAAATAATTTGGGAGTAACATCTGTAAAGAAATACAAAAACTGCCATGTTTTTAATTTAGTTCAGTCATTGGAGAGAGATGAAATTTACTTTAGAAGGAAGTTCTGAACAGAAGTCTCCATTTTCCTTCAGTAAATTCAGAAAAAGTCTAAGAGGAAAGGGGCCACCATGCAAGGAATCAGCCTCAGAGGTAATCAGTTCCAAAATGCACTAACATAAAAGGCTGACTATGTGACACAGATGCATCTAAAACAAGTAAGAACTTCTCCTCTCCAGTTCCTGCTCTTTCTTGTTAATAAAAAAAAAAATAATCATGTGCTTGCAGAAATCAAGAGCTAAACAGAAGTCTGCAGATTTCTATTCACTAGCTACAAATGCAAAAAAAAAGGCAATGTTTTAACTATTCTCTTTTGGAACAACTGGCTATAAAAACAAGAAGCAGGGCACTTATATACACTCATATGCAGAATAAAACTGTATTCTCTATAAATACCTGAAAAAAGGAACTTACCCAGAAATAAGTACTTGACAGTCTTTTCAGTAACTGCATTTTTGTCTTGCTACACATTACAAGCAAATCCAGATCTACCATGGGAGCAAAGGTAGGTATAACATCTATGTGAACAACAGATATCTCGATTTAGAAGTCTCTTGGGAAAACTGAAACTTTTGAAAGATCTGCAGTACAAGTAATCTGGCCCATCCAACTGTGGCAATGCTGTGCCTTTCAGCACTATGGATGAACTCGGTAATGTCATGGAGAGAAACTAACAAGATGTTGGGGTTTTCTTTTCATATCTTACCTGCAGTAAGCACCTATCTCTAAAGGTGTAGCCTATCAATTTGTCCAGGTGCATCAGACACTGATGGTAACGGACATGGTGGGTGAGGACAGGAAGCATCATTGCGTGCTGAAAAAACAAATGCAATAAACAAAATCATTCAACTTTAGTATACAGAGAATTCAGACGACTGAGCTAAAAATACAAACACTTCCCAATTGTTAGAACATCTAGTTTACTGTTTTGGTTTAAATGAGGGAAAAAAAATAGTTTTCCATGCTTCACTTATCAAAGCACTTATTTAGTCATGTTTTTATCTCCACAGCCCTGCCCAGACTAAAGGAATACATACATAAACCCAATCTTCAACTAAAGCAACTTAAGTAACAGGAAATTCAAGAAGCTATGACTGAATACAATGCTATATGTTTGTACCTTTTCATTTAACACCCTGCTTCAAAAATGAAGAAGCACCACTTCTCCTCTGCCTCAATACATTAAGGAAGAAACACTTTATACCACTTTAGCCTGCTTTCACCAAACAACAGTAGGTACTCAATTTTCAAGCACAGTTGTACCTTGCTTCACTTCCTTTTGAGGAAGAATTATGGGATTTTTGAAATGCTGTAGTCTGGCACATTTAATGTGCTAAAAAATACCAGAAAGGTTGCTGTTTGTCTAAGACATAGACAATGTTTTTCTGTTGGGTAAAATGTCAATAAAATTGAAAAAAAACAACAGCTCTATTTTATAAGAATGGCAGTCCCCTTCTCTCAGTGTTTCAAAGGAATTCTCCACTAATACTGACTTCAGATGCATCTGGGTTGAAATAAGCAATTAGTGTAGCTTATCAGTAGAGTGGTATAGCAAGTATGATATCAACATCACAATTCTTGCATAAGAATGAAGAGAGAAATGGGAGAAATGCAGAATTTGAAGACTTTTATGCACATGAGCATTTGTTAACTAGTTTTTTTTAATTGTTCCTATACTGACATGACATAAATATATTCAAAATAAAGGCGTGTTTTAAGGGCATTAAAATCTGAGGGCTGTCACAATTAATTCAGAAAAAGGACTGTGTATGATTAGAGGAAATGAGTGTATAGCATGGAGAGAAGCAAGAAAAACAAGCACACAAAGTAGATGATGTATAATTTATGGAATAAATGCTTTTACAGATTTCTGCAGGTCACTAATGACAGAACAGCAGAAAATACAAACTGGTGAATGTTACAAGATCAAAAATTAAGACTAACTAATGGCAAGACTTTCTGTTTAAGTAAAAGAACATGAAATTCCTGAGAACTGAACACAGGGCTGGAAGGTAATCACAGAATCATTAAATTGGAAAATACCCTTAAGATGATTTGAGTCCAACTGCTAAAGTAACACTGTAAACTCCACTAACTAAACCATGTCCCACAGACCTTTATAAATACCTTCAGCGATGGTGACTTCACCACTTTCCTGGGCAACCTGTTACAATGCTTGATCACCTTATCTGCAAAGAAATGATTTCTAATATCCAATCTTAAACCTCTTTGGTACAACTTGAGATAATTTCCTTTTGTTCTGTCATTTGCTGCCTGGGAGAATACACCATCTCCCACCTGGCTACAGACTCCTTTCAGGCAGTTGTGGAGAGTGATTTAGTCTCCCTTGAACCTCCTTTTATCCAGCCTAAACACCTTCAGTTCCTTCAGGCACTTCTCACCAGACTTCTGCTCCAGACCCTTCACCAGCCCCAGTGCCCTTCTCTGGACACACTGCAGGTCCCTCAATGTCCTTCTTGTATTAAGGAACCCAGAACTGGACACAAGATTCAAAGTGCAACCTCACCAGCGCTGAGTACAGGAGACAATCCCTGTCCCGCTCCTGCTGGCCACACTATTGCTGATACAGGCCAGGATGCCTTGGCTTTTTTGGCCACTTGGGCACATGCTGGCTCATGTACAGTCAGCTGTTGACTAGGAACTCTTCCCCAGTCCTTTTCTCTCAGATGAAATAACCAGATAGTATGACAGAAAAAGACTTCCTGGATCTCCAAATAGCAGAGAAATATAAAACCACTCTAAGCAGAACCAGGAAGTGTTATTAGGAAATTTTATTTTCTTGCCATGTCACTCATTTACAGTTTTTTTGGAGTATTTTTAAGAACATCTCTTTTATCTCCATATAAACTGTACAGGCATGCTTCTTATGTGTTCCTTTATGGAAGGAATTAATTGAAAAACACCAAAACAACCAAACCTGAAATTGTTTCACAGGACAACTGTGCTTCCCTGCCTCTATACTCCACTGTACTAGACAGAAGAGTCTCCTCAAGCAACATTTAACATTCTTTACACCAATACATGTGTCCCTGCATTTGAAGACTGAGATACCAAATTTCAGACTTATCAGCTGTGGTACAGTGAAAAAAGAATTGACAGACCCCTGGGAGCACACAGAAAGACTTTAATTTGACTCTTGAAGCTATATTGACAAAATGCTACTTTCCAGGCACTAACTATTTGATCGATTGATTGATTCAATCAACATCCGTCATCTTGGACTGTGGTTATTCAATGTTTCTGATGTTTTGTGTATTTATCTCTGTAGAAGAGATGTTTTTAAAATATGTATGATATCAAATATTTTGCATGTCCCTTTCTTGCTGCAGCTAGCACAGCAAGTCAGAGACTCTTAAGTGCCCTCATCCTCCTGGACAGCAAGTGCTCCTGACCTGAAGCTACTAAGTGGAAGCAGGTGAGCTGAAATATTTTGGAATGCGTGAATTGCTGAACACTCTACACTGCTGTTGAGGGTTCACCTGCAACAACGGTGTGGGTGGAAAGGGGGAACAGAAGTGGTTGTCTTCTCAGCACGGCCAGATCCTGCCACACAGTGTATTAAGTGCTGCCTAGCTCAGTGGCCAAGTACTGCACTGGATATACTGGGTAACTTCAGTGAGCCTGTCAGAACTCAAACATTTTACACTTTCTTTGAACATTCCAATCACCATTTTTCCTCCCCTTTCAAGCAGTTCATTTCTCAGACAGCAAAGACCAGTGTCATTAAGGCTACATGGAACTCAGAGCAAGTATAAGTGATCATAAGTGACTTAAAAGAGTTTCAATCTTATAAACTGCAATGCTTTTAAAAGCAATAATTTTAAATCACTGCACTTGAGCTCTGCCCCCAGAGCCGATTTATGCGTATTTAGTTTTAGTCTTCTTTAATCTGGGAAAAAGCATATAGCAACAGCAGCAATCTTTCATTTTACATACAGTTGCCTATTCTTGGCCTCTCAAAGAAATCAAATCAAAGGACCTTCATACCAGAACTGGCTGATTTAGATGTTACAGCTGCAGATGGGCACAAAACTGTGAAACAGCTTTACTTTTATCATTTTTTGGTGTTTTGCTGTCCTTCAACAAAATGAAACAGGAATATTCAAGAAATTAGGAGATGAATCACAGAAGATATTTTGAATAACAGAGAACAGTTTGAAAGTGCCTAAACTGGAAATTTACACTGTTTACTTGAGCTGTAAAACATACACAGTTCACAACAAAAAATTACAAAAGGGCTGTGATGTTCCTGAGCTATGTGAGGAGATATTGTGCCACTATTCTCCTTCTACTTCAGAAGCGATAGTAGAATCACAGAAATCTTTCAGATGGAAGAAAAGCAATTTTAGTTACTAGCATTTCTCTCACTATAGAATTTCCCCCTTTGGCCTGACCAGACTTCTAAGATTACAATGGAACTTCTAGCTATACCCTCTCCTAGAAACGTCCCTAATTTATAGTTCACATTGTTAAGCTAATATTAAGCTGCATATATTTAACTCTTAAATAACATCACCAAAACAACAGCTAAAAAATAATGCAAGTATATCTCTAGCCAAATTATTTGCTTGTTACTACTACTCAAATTTTACTAATACAAAATTAAATAAAAATTGCATTTATTCTTATCATATCACAAACCTGGTTGCAGTCAACAGCTTTAGAATAGGATATGATAGAGAGATGTTCCTTTGAGATGTCATGCGTATGAAACAGAATATCTGAAAGATACATTTCTACTGAGGATCACCTCAAAAGTTAATTGTGGTGGGGTTTTAGTGTTTTTTTACTTTATTTCAAGTAAAAAGATATTTCTTCATGCTTTACTGTAAAACTTGGGGTGTTTTTAAAAGCTTCCTGAATAGAAAAATATAATAAAATTAAAATATCTAAAACCAAGCCAGTTGATGGATTAAGAGCTCCACACTGGACTCAACATTTGGCAAACCCCCAGCCTCAAACTGGCCATTCCTAACCTCTCTCCCTTGCACTAATCAGCCCCTGGCAGAAAATTTTAAATTACTTTTTTTGTGTGTATAGAAGTGGTGGGCAGAATACTAGAACAGTTCCCTAGATCAATAGATATTATTTCCATTTGGTTCTTCAGCCTTGAAGAAACCCTTGCAAAGGTAAATGGCATCTACCAAGAAAGAAAATACATCTCTCGGGTTCAGTCACCTGGCAGACGTCAGAGCGTATCCCTGTTTTCCAGAATCCCTGGCTGCTCAACTCCACGGTCACCTCACGTCTCATTGTGTTCTTCTGGCGAATTTTCTGCAGTGCTTCCTAAGCAGGGAGAAAACAGAGGTGACCACATTTTTTTTACTGCAAATGACAAAACAAACCAGTCTAACTCATACATCCAAGATGATACATGAGTAAGAAAGGTAAAGTCCTTATAATGAAAGCACTTTCTTTACCAGATGCACAAAACAACCTCTTCATTCATGTCCATCACGGTGAGTACTCCTGGTCTGAATATACAAGAGGAGCAAAACAGGCTTTGTTTTATCATCTTGGGTTCTTTGCAACAGCTCGTGTTCAGCTATGTCACTCTGCCCAGTCTGGGAAAAGGGTCAGCATTCAACAGTTCTAGAGATTATGCTGATTGAAATCCACCCATTTTATTCCAATAAAAATTATTTAAAATATGTTTTACCTTGACCACTGGCTATTTTGGTGGTGTGCAAACAATTTGTCTCTAGAAACCATGAAAGGGTCAGAATCATTAAAAATTTTGACAGTATCATTGCAAGAAAATATTTTCTGTAAAAATGAAATGAAAGAAAAACAGATAAAATAAATCAGCCCTGCATGAGAATCTCTTGGTTCCACTACTATAAAGCCCTGGGGTGTGCAAGCTCCCCACACAGCATGAACTAACCCCTCAGTGCTCTGCCTTCTTCAGAACACAAAGCTCTTCAAAGCTGCAACTCATCCTGCCTTTCCCTCTCCTTTTCATTACAGGGCACTTGCTCAAAGCTTTCTCTTGCCAGCTCCCAGTTAGAAGCCTGTGAGCACACCTGGGCAGGAACAGGCTCTGTTTTCTGATTTGCAGAGACTCACAGAGCAGTTCCAACAAGTGCATCTGTCCAGACACAGATTTATCAAACCTCAGACACCTCAATAAAGCAGTGCCTAGGGTAGGACGCTACATAGCCCTGGCTCCTTTTATATTCAGTGAAGGGGATAAATGGCTTCAAAAATACATTTCTCCCTCCACTGACTTCAAAGTGAGCCTTTAGGTCCTAATTTATGCACCTGCTGTAAATGCTCAAAGTTAGGTTAGAGGAACAAAGCCCCAGGCATGACCTTGTCACAAATAATATCATTGTACAGCCTCACATTGGTGGATGACTGATGGCAGAGGGAACAGAGATGCTGCCAGCACTGCACCCCTTGTGCATTGTCAAAGGTGTCATGGAGTTTTCCTGAGAAAGGTGCTACAGACCTGACTGTATTTCAGTCTGACTGGCTCAGAAGCACTTCATAATACATGATTAAAAATCTTTAAAAGCCCATGTACCAGTCAGGTACAGTCCTACAGCTCCTGAGTTACTGACACCTCTACTGGCAAATATATAGATTATCCTCACACAAAGTTTCTGCTTCAGCCCTGTGTGCCTCCCTCTTAGCAAACTACTTGTAGAACTTGTTATCCTAGATAATACAGTCTAGAAACAAAACAGAAGTCCACAGCAAGTGCTAAATAACAAAGGAACATTTTATCTTCTGGAGCAAAATATGACCACCACCTTACAAACAATCCACTACAATTTCACAAATGAGCTATACATTACCCCTTAAGGAAATATGCCCATAAAACACACTGCTTGCTCAGTGTATAGCTGTGGCAAATAAAATCACCTCTGTAAGAACAAGTACTTTTTTTCCTTTACAACTGTGGCACAGTTCAGTCATAATGTTGTGGGTTTTTTTTTTTTTTCCATTTATAAGTAAGAAAGCCAAGGGCTTATTTAATATCAGCATTAAATGAAATGTTTACTAACACTCTTGCTCACACAACAGCATACTATGCTTTGCAACAATGAAAAACATCAGGTCCAATGTCATATGTATCAAACACTTTCTGCAACCATAACTAATTCCAGAAATACAATTTCTGAGACTTCTCCTATAAACTGGGGAAGTCCCAGGAATGACACTCCATGATTCTCAAGCGTCCTCGCCAACTCAGGATAGTCTATGATTTTGTGAATAATTAGTGTTTCTAATGGATAAATAATAATACAGTACCACTTAATTAAATACCATCCTGTACTCGAGAAGTTAATTTCTCCTTTGTGTATTCTTTACACAGGTTGTCAAATTAAGAGTGCCTGACAAACAGGCACCAGACAAATTCAAAGCTTCAGTCCATGGGTTTACAGAAATAGCCTGGTTTAGGCTATATTTAGGAGTCTTTGTTTTTCTACTTTTAATTCCCAATTGGTTGAGCATTTGCACTTAGGAAATGCTTATTGCTCATCACTTTGCAGGGAACAAAACAAATGAGAAAAATATCTTGTCTATCATACAACAACCAGATTATTTCAAGTCAAAGATCCTAAGCAATGTCACTATACCACCTAATAAATTATGGTTTATGCACACAAGCATGGCAGTTTTTATTTCAGAAGAGAAATGTTTAAAATTATGAGCCAGTTAAAAGTACATTATGAAATAAAAAGTCCTTCTCTATGCTAATTCTTGAAACCATTAATGGCAACAGCTATAAAGAAGTTATGGTTCCATAACAATAATTCCTATAATTGGGTAAAAAACTTGCAGCAGTTTGACAGCTGAAGAAAAGAAAAAACCTCCATTCAATAACAAACATAGATAAAAATAAAATCTGTGTTAAGAGTCTGGAAAGAAAATATTTTGCAAAGGATTTCTATTGTTTCCATAAACAGAGCAGTCCTGTTAGCTGTATTCCATCCTGAATTACAATGCTCAATTATCAGTCATAGGAAGGTCCAGAATACCTCTCTTTGTGATAATTTCTGTTTATCAGCCTGTTTGACTTTGGGACTATTAGCCAGTAGGTGACGCAGCTTCACATAACTCTTCCACAGCTTTTGGTATCTGAAGGACAAAACCAGAAAACAAGTGTTTTGGTCAGTGAACAGAAGTCTCTCCCTGTCTGTCATTAGGAACATACCAGCTGCTAATAATGCACACAACGTACATAAAGAATGTCTACAGGCACCTCTTTGCTACGGAAATACAATAATCTCAAAACATTTTCTGAGAGGTAATAGTGCCTGGGTAGCTTCTCCAGCAGGGTGGGCCAGGTAGCAGAAAGGAGGCAATAGTGTGCAGAGTGAGGTAAAGAACAGCAAAGATCCAGGCAGACCCCAGGTGTCCCAGATACCCACCCATCCTCTCCAAAAGGCCACCTCTCCATGCTGAAAAGATGTGCCTGCCCCTTAACTCAATTCAGGCAGGTGAAAACTCCTTTTACTCCACACGGTTTACCTATCACTCACTGCAAAGGAGTGGCACCCTTCCCCTAGAAAGAGTCTGTCCTTACACCAGCTCAAACACTTCAGTGAAGCATATGAGGAAGAGCTCTACAAGTCACAGGCAACATGAAGTTACTTTGTGAAAAGTGAAATGAAAATTTTGCTACCAATGGGTTTGCGCTGAATGGAAAGAGCAATTCAAGTTATTTCTGTGATTGGCACATACTTAAGTTTTCTGTTTTTCTCCAACCATCTAGCCTTTTCTTATTTTGGCAGTGTCTAATTACACATGAACCCCAATTAGAACGTTTTCCTTGGTGGGAGTCCCTCAATGATCTTGCACAAACATTCACCAAATTTGTAAGAACTAACTCCATTTGAACATCCCAACCTTATATCCAGCTGCAGTTGACCGACAGGTTCAAAAGTTACAATGGGAGGAGCAACGAAGAGAATCATGACAGGGATCCTGTGTCCTTAGGAAACAATGCTACCTACCTTCAAAATGTAACCTTTGTATTCAGGAAAATCATAAATCAGATTTTGAATAGGAAGCAGGGAATTAGAGGCCAGAGGAAAGTTGACCCAAGTTTGTTTTTACATTTATTTACATTATAAAAGAAGATCCTCCCCAGCAACAAGTTAGAGCAGTGGTTTTATTAGGAAGTTTTCACATTAGCAGCTTAGCAGTCAATGAGGCAGCAGCTCTTTTATTATTTCATAATCTTCCCAGCATCCCACATTAACAAATATTTTCTTATTGGAATCTTCTCCCTAGCTATTTCTCTGCAGCATTCTTGAATATATACTCTGCATCTGGAGATACTGGTATTTTTTCAGTCTACAAACACATCTGAAATGGTCAATCCATAGATTTTTCTCATGCTCCATTCACTGCACTTTTGCAATCTGCAGAATAGCACATCCATTTTTGACAAATCACCATCCGAAAAAGAAAAATGAGTTAATGAACAATTCAACCAAAAAAAAAGAATAAATGCCTCGAGGAAGTTTCAACCCAAAAACAAGAACCTGAAACTGTGAGCTACAATACACATTTTTCTACAAGTATTTATAATGGTGAAGCAAGCTTTGTTATCGCAATTAAGTTTGAGTATTAGTAAATATATTACCATTACAAAAAAATCCTGTATTAGAACATCACAAAGAAAAGACACATTAGAGGAAAATCTCTTCTGGGTGCACATACATCAGAGTTAAGCCTGACATTTATGACAGCACCACAGAGGCCTTTCACAAAAAATGCTTTGTTTCTTTGATAAAATAAAACATACCTACGTTCTGTAAGCAGCTCTGAGGTTAAAACCCAAAACAAAACAAAACAAAAAAAACCCAAAAAAACCCCAAGTAAATTTTATAGAAAAAAAATGTGTGGGAAGAGTAATTTATTCTCTTTATACTATTTTCAATGAAAATACTAGACCTTTACAAACACTAACAAATGCAGAATCAAAGCAGAAATATAATTCTTATATTTTTGGGTCCAATTATTTCCTTTTTATGGACAAGAAAACTAAAATATAAAGACATACGTTTTAAAGACAGACCTAATGATCTAAAGCCAAAAAACTCCATTTTATTATCTGGATTAGCACTCAATCTTCCTACTTTCTGCCACACTGGATTTAAAATCCTCAGCAAGCAGTTACTTGCTGTCATAAATGCACATGAGTGTTTGGGCCTCAAAACTGCAGATCTATTGAGTATGTTGCACATAAATCATCCTCTCTTTATACAATTTTTTTTAGTATTGCTGCTGTTGCTGGTTGTATTCTTGTCTCGTTGCTCTTTCCAGTAAATAGTTTTTTTCTCAAACTGTGATCTCTGCCTTTTTGTGTCTCTCAGTGGACAGGGAAGGGAGTGGCTTGTGGTTCTCTTATTAGTGGGAGTACTAAATTGGGGAATATCATTCCTGAACTACTGCATTGAGGAAAAAGAGAACCTTAGCTATACATGCACCAGAGACAGGCTTTATACTATCATCATGCAGAAAGCACATAAACAAATCACCAGAAGAATTCCCTGAAATAGTCAGAGGTAAGAAAAGAACTGGGAACAAAATCAAATAATCACTTTTGCGTCCCTTCCACAGTGAAACAGTATTTCTTGGTCTGCCTGAAGTCCTGATTCCTTCTCCACTCCTTCTCTACATTCCTCCCAAACTCTAACAGGATATAAAATGCACAGAAAAGAGCTTCCAGGAGATTCCAAGCTAGGAAACACTATGTACACATAATCCTTCGAAGCACAGAAAGAGATGATTAAGTAGGATATAGCAGTATGCAAGAAACAAACATCATGAAGTAATCAAACAGAAAATGGCTATATTATTCCTTATTAGACCTGAAGAACATCTAATTAAACAATCAAGCAGCAGCTCTGAAATACAAATCATTACTGTTGCATATGATGCACAGCAGTACTGGTAAAGTGATTGCCTGAAATCTTCTCCCTGTCAGTAGCACAAGAAGAGTCAAACAGTGATTTGAGAAATTTAAAAACATCCATTCAGGACTGTTTAACAAAAGGACCTAAATACATCCTCTAGCTCAGAAGTCTATATGCTACAGACATTAGGAAGCTTGAGTAACTACTTCTCCTTCTCTGCCCTCCTGTTATGCTATTCTCTCTACAAAAACCCACCACTGGCCTCTCAGAGAAGTAACATGGAGCTTGAGGAACCACCATTTGCTGGACCCAGAAAAGCTGTTGTCAGGTCAAGAAGTTTCATGCTGCACATGCACGTGTGTTTACTTCAGCGTATCTAGAATTATTCCATAGAAAAAGTTACTCTTCATATTTTCTAACTTGCAGGAGCTTGTGCCCGATATCACAAATGCTAAGCTTTACACCAGACTCAACTAAGCACATAACCAAGCCCTATTTAAGGCACAAATGACAATACTGAGTTCCTGAACAAAAGAAAGAAGGAAAAGCATCTTACTGAGGATCTCCAGCATAACTGAGTTGAGCAGGTCGTATCCCAAAGTGCACAATAATAGGGAAGGTAATTACATCAGGATTGAATTGTTCGCGGTCTAGTTGATCAATACGAACTGAGCTGGGCTTCTAGGAGAAAAAAAACAAAATACAACTAAATTGACAGCAGCTCCATGGAAAATTTACTGCCTCAAGCCCACTGCCTCACGCAACAACATTCCAAACTTAGTAAGATGCACATTCAACTAATCGTCAATACTATTATAAACATTTGGCAACAACAATAACTGGAACAAAGTTAAGTGATCTAACACTCAAAGAAAAAAACCAAAAAGGCCTTTTAATTTTAAACATCTGGAAATTCACTATTTCCACGAACTTAAAACAACTTTCTCTGGTCAAGCATCACATCAGAAATAAAAATTAGGATTAGCATTCTGGCATCCAAGAACCCACATGCCTGAACAGTTTGCTAAGATCAGGTTACCTCTCTAATTTTAGTTCATGATTTCCCAAAGCAAATGAAGGCATTATTAGATCCATTCAATCATACTGACTAAACAGCATTAAAAAGAAATCTGTCACACTACTCTCAGAAAAGGCTCCTAGGCTGATGTGTACAAGGAGGAATACAGTCTTGTATAATGAGGAGACTTTTGCCCTTTTAACAGTTCAAAACAGAAGTTCTTTTCATTGTTAAAAAGGACAGTGCAAAAGAAGGCAACTTTTGCTTCAGCTCTATGAATGCAGAGAGTAAGTAATTGCACATCACTGTAGCAGACATGCTGCTCACAGAGCTTTTGATCACTTACCCAGCATATTTAAAAACTCAGCTGAAGGTGCACAGTTTGTCTCCAAGTAAACAACTTCTCCATTACCTGTCAGGCTGCTTTGTAACATGCCTGCTTTCTCTCCCCTTTGCAATCAACTGGATGAGGCCAATACATTTTGCTTGTCTTAGGTTTCAGAAAAAGGGTATTACTTCTAGTTACCTGCATCTCAGAACTTCTCATTTAGCACCGTAAAGATGCACTCAAAGATGAGTTTCAGTGTTACAGAAACAGCTCCCGCCATTCTCTTCACAAAACAATAAAAACTGTGTCAAGAACAAAGCTTTTACCCTCCAAACCACCTTGGTAGAACTGTTCACAGGAATAATTTTCTGCACAGAAAAGAAAAGCCAATTCTATATATGGCCACAATTTCAATCTAGTCTAAAAAGAAATCTTACTTAAATGCTTGATTTTCAGATGCAGAAATATTTTTCAAGGGAAAAATGCTTATCAGCTTCCCTTTAGACAAGATAATTGAACATAAAGTTACATCTCCTCAGCCAAAAAAAAACAAAAACCAGGAAAAAATATTTATGTTAGTTAATAGTTAACTTATTTAATTAGTTGAATTTTTAAAATTAGTTAGTTAAAGCTCATGGTTTCACAAAAAAAAAAAAAAAAGAGAGAGAGAAAAAAATGTCATCTCCACAGCACTTCTTATAAAAAAGGATTAGAACAAAAAAAGCCCTAAAGGACACAATGGGCAATATTTGTACCAGACAGAATGTTACTCCCTAAGCAAGAGCTTGAAAGTCCTAATTTTTAAGGATTAAGTTAAGTTTATTTTCTAGGGTTGGTTTCCATTTTTTGAGAGATTGCATAAAACCAGCTTGAGAAGTATTTGTTTTCTCATAAGTTGTTTGTTGGTTCTCCCCACTCTTAATATTAAATTGAGGAACTTCTCCCATCTCTGTACCCCTTAAAAAAGCAGCCTTGATACACCACTCCTCTGAGAACCAGGTCAGCAAAATATAATTAACAGCATATTAAACAATAATAGTATTCAATATACTAATAATAATCAATACAATTAAAAAAATACAGACACAATTTAGATACATCAACAGAGGCAATGAAATACTCGTAAGTGCAAAAAGGACATCTTTCACTATGCATATAGCAGGGTCTGTGTGAATATGCAAGTATGATCTCAGGACAAGTCAAAACCAGACTCCATTTCCATGACACTGCCTTGCATCTGTCAATCAGTTACACAGCTGCTCACAGACAGCAACCAGGACAAAAGAACTCCAAGATCTAATCACAACTGCTCCCTCACTTGCAGTTATGAGAGGGGTGTAGCTGGGTTATGCATTTTATTTCATCGTGAACACCAGCCTCCTCTCCAGTGCCCTTTCTGAAGGTTAAATGAACAAACAGCAACATACAGAAACATCAAGTAAAAACTGCACACCTGCAGACAGGATGCAAGCAAATTAGATGTTATTCTTCCAAAGCTTTATCCCTGTGCTCTTTTAGAAGTGCTTTGATAGACCATCCAATAACCACAACCTCACCTTTAAAGTCACATCAAAACCAAATTCTAACAGAACAGAAGCCTGTTATTTTTGTTTCCTACTCCAAATCTCATCAATCAAAACTTTGCTGACAGAAAACAACATGAAATAGCATGCAGATGCAGTAGAGAAGTATATTAATATATACATGTAGTAGTGAGAAAACCATCAGTATTTTAGGAAGAGTGAAGGATGAAAGATGACTAAAATTTGTGAACTTCTAAATCTATTCCAATACAACATTTCATTGAACTAATGAAACACCATGAATAAGCAAAATAATTTTAAATAATGCTGAAATGCTGTTAGTTGTTTAAATGGGATTTACATCCTGTTATAAGTTTTTTTCCCTTCTCCATATTGCACATGTATACACCTCACACTGAGGAAAAAAACCACACACATAAAACCCAGATTTGATCACAAGAGGAATTATTATTTCTAAAGAGATGCTGTGCAACAAAACAAAATTCAGTGTTTTTACTTTGTTGTCTCAAGTGGATATAATTGAATTGAAGAGCTGTCATTTTCTAAAATGGTTTCACATCGTCTCTCCAACAGAACTGTTTTATCTTCTAATGTTGTAAAATGCATAGCTACTTGCACTTACATTCATAATCAGTCCAGTATGGTGCAACGTACAGGAAAAATCCACAAACTAAGAAGAATGTCATTGCAATCTTGAGAGAAAGAACACGTTCGAATGATGCCATTATAACATGACATTTCAAAGCACTACAGATTTCTTTTATGCTTACATATTTTGATGTCTGTACATCTCTAAAAACGTTGCCTTGTAGAATGCAAAGTTTACCAGCAAAAAAATCACACAAGATCTCAGAATTAATGCTAAAGCTCTCAAATCACACTGCTTTGTACATACAGACATTTAGAGTTCCGTGACACAAGGAAGGAACACATATGAGTTCCTCCATGCAAATAAGCAAATAAATAAAACAAATAAGAAAGTTTTCAACCAGCTGAAATCAGCATATCTTCAGTAAAATGACTGAAGGTATGTCAGTGCATAGCATTCAGATGCTGACAACTTGTGGACAGGCATGTACCTTGTATCACAAAAACCACAGGCAAGTTAAGGCTGTTCAGGTTTTTTAACAGTTTCTGTTATGGGATTCTGGTTTAGCAATCATTTAAAGCACCTGAGGTAGAATTTTCCATAACAAGAGTTCACGTGTATTTTTGTATTTCTTATTTACAGAAACAAACTAATTTTCTTGTTGTTTCAAAAGTTTTACTTTACTCAGAATGAAATCAATGGGAAAATTATCTGACCCAAGTTATTATTAGCTTATTAAGTATTTTACTAATGTTATGCTGCCATACTTAAAAATATGAACTGGAAAAATGTATTTAGCATGTCACCCTGGCTGCAGTTTGGAGACAGGTTTTTCAGTTGAAAAACTAGATTCCTTCTTAGGCATGGTACCAAGTTACACTTTTTCTTCAGAAATTAGGAATATGAGCTACAAGCAAAGGAGGGAAATGAAGTCAGAAAAAGAAAGGCATTACTACTGAGAAAGTTGCAGGTCAGTCTCAAATATTAGGTCCAAAATATGCCTTAAGACACCCTTTTGCAATACTGCCCAAACTATACAAATACACTCCTGCAGTTTTTAGTGGGCATTCATCTATTCTTGCGACCCACATTTTTTAAAAAGGAAAGTCAGAATAATGGCCTTATTCATATACACACTGGAGTTGAAAGGAGCTGTGTACAGAAAACGTGCTTTAAAATACCAATTGTTCCAAAAATAATAAGGCCACAGGGGTTTCAAACTAGGCACTGAAAATTATTACATACATTAATTAATGTACACAAACTTCCTCAATGTGAGTAAGAGCAAAACAAAAACAATGTGGAAAAAACTACACAGGCAGAAAAGACCTCTTCCACATTCAAGCCATTGTTAGGACAGCACACATTAAATATAGCTGTCAAAAGGGGGTCAAATAAGGAAGAGGAAAGTAAACAGCAAATAGTTATTATTTCTCTGGTACTGTGTCTGGGAAAAGAGAATGAGATCATGCACACAAAGACTGCCTGAAAAAAAAGGAAAGTTTTACATCCATAAAATGTAGCTCTTCCTTTTAACATGCACATTGAAACAGTGCATATCTGTGCAGTGAAAATACACCCTTTAGTACAGCAGCAGGGGGTACAATTCAGGGTTGGAACCAGTCAATAAAGTGCTCCTATTGCAATCTGCAACTGCCACTGGTCACCTTTTCCTGTTCTAATTTAGCCTGTAACAAACTCTCTGAAAGAAGACATGTACATGTCACGGGATTGTTCAAAAAACAAAAAAATGATGTATTTGTTCTACCATGCCAGGGCTGGTAACGATCATCCCTTTGCATTCTTCTGCATATTTCTGCCATTCCAGTTCTTCCCATTGAAGCATATTGGCAATCTCCTCTTCAGGCACCAGAGCTTTACTGCATCGTAACAAGTAGAGAAGAATCTGATGCATTGAGAGTACTTCTTTTCCTCCATCTTAAAACCATAAATATAAAAAAAACACATTTCAGAGATTCATTCCTAAAGCAAGCGCATAAAAGAAAATATGTAGAACACTAAGCATTTGTATGAGCAAAATAAAATGCAAAATGAATATATGATTTGACAAATATGAAGGCAAATGTTTTACTGATGAATACTGCTCAGGCATAAACACTTTGCTAAACTGAAGCAGTAATAGTAATGGTGGCAAGACTAACAGTTCCATCATACTATAAGCTTGAAGTTTCTAACTTGCCTGAATAAACTTTAAAATGAGTAAGCAAAACAATCAGTTATGTTGTCCAGTTATATGTTCCTTTTCACAATTTTATCATTATTTTCACAACAACAGTTAAAAAGCCTTTAGGTGTTACACAGCTTTTTTTTAAGTACACTCAAAATTTTACAGGATAGTTCTGAATGAATGTAGTAAGCTATCCCTGCACTTTAAACTCATCTGTAGTGCTTACATGCCATAACTGCAGTAATGAAGACTAAGGAGCCTCATGCTGTCTTCTGTCACTAAATGAATCAAGGGCATGTAAAAATTACTAAACACCTCTGAGACACCAGGAAAAATGCATAGCAAAGGTTGTTTCTAACAAAAGAAAACACTATCATCTGAGTGGTTTCAGGTAGCCAGGTACAGATGTGAATATGCAAACAGGGAAGGTGAGTGATGGCCCTGACAGATCACCACTCATTGATCACTCAGATCTCTGACTATTCAAATACAGTAAGTCTGCTCATGTCAGTAAAAAGTCACTGCATGTTTGCACAATGCTTTAATTTTGACATAAATCTCTCTAATTCCCTCCTTTAATAATAGTGCTAATATGCAAGCATGAAGGAATCTTCAAGTTTCAGCTCCACAGACACAAACACTGATTTCCCTACCTCAAGGAGCAGAAACAATCTAATCCAGCCACTGAATATGTTCTCTCTATCAACACACTCACAAAAGAGAAACGGTGACAAACCAGAAGTAAAACCTTAGAGCAATATAGGGGATGACACCACAGCACAAGGAGTGTGATCCCAAGCACGATGGAAAAGCCTGCAGAGCCCCTGCACAACAGCAGCACCGTGTAAGATGATGTCCTCTACAAGATATGTGAGGAACCAAGCCCTTCTCTTATTTCTTCTGGGATTACAGCACTACTGCACAGAAATGATGACAGGCAATGGTGTAACCTGGCCTCTCAGAACAGCTAACTCACTCAAACTCCAAGAGGAATCTTAAGCGGGAAAAACACACCCCAAACCTCACTGGAAATAGAAAATACTTCTAAATAGCTACATGGACAGATTTTTAAATGTGCAAAGTCTTCCTGTCAACAACTGGATTATACTCTTATGCAAGAGGTAGTCCCCACCCAACAAACACTAAAATAAGTATATCCTTACCCAGGGAAGGTTATGTATAGGTTGCTGTACTTTCTAAATCAGAATATGCAGTACTTGGGACCTCAAATGTGCTTTTTCTAGGCTTTTACTCTCTGAATATATATTTATCATCATAAAAACCTAAGAAAATGAATACAATACAGTAACTGTTCTGCATGATATGCATCTCAGTAAACCAGATATGACTAGGTCAGAGCTACTTCAAGGCCTGTCTCTTAAGTAAATCCACAAAGAAAACCTGACATCCCAAACCTCATTAGCTTCAGACAATGCTGAAAGAAAAAGAGAGAAAGAGAGAGGCAAAGAGAGGCAAAGAGAGGCAAAGAGAGGCAAAGAGAGGCAAAGAGAGGCAAAGAGAGGCAAAGAGAGGCAAAGAGAGGCAAAGANAGAGAGGCAAAGAGAGGCAAAGAGAGGCAAAGAGAGGCAAAGAGAGGCAAAGAGAGGCAAAGAGAGGCAAAGAGAGGCAAAGAGAGGCAAAGAAAGAAAGAGTAGAAGGGATGGGAAATCAGCAATTCATTCCTATCTTTAAAGACAGAGCTGACAGATGTGTGAAGATCTGATGCACCAACATCTCCTTTGATTAGACTTAAGAAGTGTTCTGCAAACATACCTGAAGGAAATAGATTTCCTCTCTCTGAAAATTAAAAATCTTCAAGGATACTTCAAAAAATAATCAATAAAAAATGAAAGCTTGATTAAAAAAAACTGTCAAAAAAATGCTATGCAAAAATATAAAAAAAAAAGACATTTATAAAATAGAGTTAGAAGGCTGGGGACCTTAAAGAAGAAGCAGCACACAGGAATATATATTATAGAGACTAAATCGCTCCCTATCAGTAAACAACCCAACAGCACAGAAAGAGCTGACTTCTAATCTAAAATTAAAAAAAAAAAAAAAAAAGGTCAGAATTTAAAAATCCCTAACAGGAAAGCACCCTCAAGCTACATAAACTAGGCAGGACAAACTTGTTCTCATTTTGTGATGAGGTCAAGGTAATCAGCCACATGTGGCTTGATGGCTTATTTTGTAAATTGCTTCAGCAAAACCAAATCAATGTTTGCTAGCAAGCCTCAGAGCTCTGCTTCTGATTGAGTACTGTGTATCCAGGAAGGAACAACAATTAGAAATACAGTCATCTGGCCATCAGTACTCTCCACAGTAACAAGCCAAAACTCATTTTGCACCAGTTATAATTAATATCCCAATAAAATTTAAAAACCCAGACCAGAAAGTACCTCCAGGTCACAGCCCTCTTGATGAAGGTTGTTCCAAGTTTCATCTGCACCCTAAATCCCACAGCTGAAACACATCCTTCTGTCCACACAACCCTCCTGGAGCAATCACTGGCAGGATATCAGCAGGACACATTTTCAACGGAGCCATGACATTTACATCAGCTGAAAGTCTGTCCTGGTGTCTTAGGATGAATTAAATGCCTATATAAGCTGTTCACTCCAAATGAGCGCAATGCTCCATGTGGAATCTTGTCCTTGGCTGGCACACCAGGGTTGAACTGCATTGGAACAGTGGCTTTTGTCTTTCACTATTTGCTGCAAGGTCTAAGCTTGCATTAGGATAAAGTAACTATCAGAAAAACATGTGTTCAGGGGTGCCAGTGATGCTGACCCTTGCACATCAACAATTGTGATCTAACCACACGGCACCCTGCAGGGCAGGGAGTGCATGAAATATGTGAGATTAGATAACAGTACTCCTCAAATGCCACAGCTCCATCACAGAGCACACCAAGGAGGACCCAGCACTGCCTAAAATGACTACAGACGCAAAAGCTAGAAGCAAGACTTAGCCTGCTCATCTGAATTCCAGTTCTGAGTAAACCATCCACTAAAGACTTCAGGTAGAAGCCAGCAAGCACTAAAGACATCAGGTACTCAGCTATTTGACTTGCAGTAAAGGTTTTTTTTCTGGAGGTTTTCATTTCGGGGGATAGGGCTGTTTTCTGTTTTGTTTTTTTTTTAAGACTTTTAGATCAAATTTGTATAAAACTATATAATACAAACATTACCTGGAAGAAATCTCACAAACCGTGGCATGAAGTGGTATCTGGGACAGGAAACAGAATCATTTTCAAGTGAAGGACCTTAAATACGAAAAATATACAGAAAATGCATGAACAGCAACATAGTTGCAAAAGGAGAAGAGATGCAACTTTGCTGCAGATAAAATCAATGAATGGTAATTACATTTGATAGAGCTTAAGTTTCAACCCAAAAAGAAAAAGAGTAACAAAAAATAAAATAAAGAACAGAGAAACAACTTGTAGTGAAAGCTTTCACACATACAATTTAAAAGAAATCTAAAATAATTTAAAAATAATAAGAACCTAACAAAACCACCATACTTTTAAATAGAACACTAATAGAAAAATATTAGTTTATATAATCAATTAATTATTATACTTAAGCCTTACAGATACAAGCACAAGTTTACCTCCTCCCAGTTAGTGGGGTGGTTTTGTTCAGCATAACAAAGAGAACATGGAAATTTCCAGTACTGTTTTGTGGTTTTTTTTTATTTTCCTATTCATCATATAAACCTTTGCAAGAAAAAAAACTAAACCTGTAAGTACCTGGTGTTAAAAAAAGAAAGAACAATCAGGAGAGACAACACTGATATTAGAATATATTTAGTATCAAACCAAAGGGTACACAAAATGTATTAAACCTGTGTGCTCCTCTGTTTAACTGCATTAAGCAGAGAGTGCAACTCCACAAAGTCAAGACACCCTACAGATACTGAAGTGTAATTGCTCTAATACTCTCATTTCTCTTTTAGAGTATGGGAAGCATTCTCCTTTGCTGCAGTCTTCACAGAAACAAGCATTTTCATCTTGTCAAAAGACAAAACTTTAATGATAACGTCAACTCTCCACAACTGTCTCTATGACACTGCTTTCTGAGTTGACTGCAGAGGAATACTGTATGAGCAACTTGTTAGCTTGTAAAACAAGGGAACAGTCTACCTGACACACTGACTTTCAAAATACCATGCACATGATTCTCTGTAATATTAAACACACAGTAATATTTGCTGTTTGATTTAATATAAAAGTTCTGGATTAAGGCAGAAATTCAATTTATTTGTGAGAATACAGTGCCAAGTTTTTGCATTTTAATTGCTACAGCGCACACTACTGAACTCTAATTTCATTTTACTAAAGAATATATGAAATTTGTCCCTCTCATGGAAAACAGCAGTTACACTGCTATTTTGAGGACCATCTCAAAGAGCACACTACCTTTAAGATTCCAGTCATACAACTCCAAAATATCTTTGAATAGATATGAAGAGAACAGTTCAAGGCCTCTCACACAAAAATTCTGGGGAAACAAAAAAATAGACCAAAATTGTGAATATATAATATTGCAATACAAATAATACCATTCAAATATAATTAAATAGAAAACAATTTAAAAAACGGTGTCTTCATATCTGCCAAACACTAGAAGCTGGCTTCTGGAAACAGTATTGATATATTTGTGATCATCTACTCTAACATAGCACAGTGGTCTCTTCAGAAAGACTCGTCAAGAAAGAATGGTACAGAACCCTCTTCACTCAATGTCCAAATCAACAGTATAGGCAAAAATTATATATCTGCAATAATCTGCCAAGCACTAAAACCCCTTCCATCAGAGCAAGCTAAGCAGATAACACATTTCTGAGAAATATCTTTTTCACAGTTCACTTTTCCCCACATGCTCATAATAAATGTTTATAAATCACAATCTGTGGTATGATCACTTCAATAGCAAATATGAGTACAGCACAAATTTAGGATTATGACCTAAATAGCCAAGAGAAGAAAAAGAAAAAAGATGAAATGGGGAATAAAAAAAAGCAAAAACATTCTTTCATCAAGTGAGAAAGTGGGTCCTTCAGTGAACGAACATATAAACTTTCCTGAACAAACTCAGGCCAGATTAATATAAATTGTGCATGTATGATATCAGCCATAAATTCCAAACTCAACACCAAAATCTCTTTCAAAACTCATTAGAAAAGATGGTCTACAAATAAAACTGTTGACATTTACCCAGAAGCCCTCCCACATGCTGACTTCCCTATTTTGCTTGGTGGCCATTTGTTGTTTCAGTTCAAGATGTACAGACAACATAGTACATTCACTAACAAGAAATTAATTGTTTTGATGACATTATTCTTTCTGAGGCATTTCAGGGCTGTTGCATAAGTTTAGATGCCACTGAGCAACAAAAAAGGAGATAACTAGAAAGAAAAATGTAAATATATATGACTAAATTAAATACTGATCCAATCTTCATAGTTAATATGCAGGGGTGTTTCTGTACCTATACACACTGTTCCACTGCAGCAATTTACTTGGCAAACTCGCTCCACCAGGCATTAATTACTAATAAAAAACTCCACCACAAACAGATTATGAACTCAATGTGCTTTGTTTGTATCCACAGGAAATTTGTTTTGGCAACAGCTTATATTAAGTACTGATAAGCAATCTTCAGAGCTTCAAACTTCTGATTAAGTCTCAGCTCTGCCATTGACTTATGTGGTCCTGGCAAAGGAGTACCTTTGTACATGCCTTATTTTTGTCAGATGTAAGAAAAGGTAATGCCTACTTCAATTTACAGATATTGCATATAACTTAAAATGAAAGGAACCTTTTATAAGCACTTCTTATTGTTTGATTTTAATATAAGATAGCCTAGGTAGATAGATTTATGCTAGTACCTATAAGTTCAAGTTCTGTTTCAGCCACTTGTTCAGAACAAAGCCAGTCTCTCAAGACCTCACAAGGTGAGACACTAAAGAGTTTAATCCATTAAACATATCAATAACTCATAACATCATAACTCATAACCCACCCTGACTTTTAGACTAATTTTCCATCTTACCTCAGGCATCATCTCCTCAATGAAATGAATTGTATAGTCAATGTTAAACCTGATTACTTTGCATAGAGGAATCTGGAAGAGAAAATTTTCAGCATTAAAAACTATACAGCATCAAATGTATAGTTAATACAATTTTGTATGCAATTTTATATACCATTTTGTATGTATTACTCTCTGCTGAAAAAGGCCCTTACTAAAACAGCTGGGATCATGCAAAGACAAGAACACAAGCATGTGTAAAGGGAGTACCAGCTCCAGCCTTTACCTCAATAATAAAACACAGTGCTGACAGGAGGGATGGTGAAGGAAGGTTAAATAATGCCATCTACTGGAGATGAAATTTTCTTTAGGAGAAAAAATACACCTGTAAAACTCTATCTTCTCTCACTTGGATATTTGCAAGTGAATTTATTTGTGACACAGCACATCAGATTGATAGAGTGATCTGAAATCAAGGTGTTTTTAGCACACTGCCAATTGTGTCAGCTGTACTATCTTAAAATGCATCTTTAAGACAAATATTATAGCTTATATTTTTCTTTAGGAGAAAAAATACACCTGTAAAACTCTATCTTCTCTCACTTGGATATTTGCAAGTGAATTTATTTGTGACACAGCACATCAGATTGATAGAATGATCTGAAATCAAGGTGTTTTTAGCACACTGCCAATTGTGTCAGCTGTACTATCTTAAAATGCATCTTTATGACAAATGTTATAGCTTAGGGATAAATTGCAGTTTTATACTAATTTCATGCCATAAATATTCTCAATTTCATCTGACTAGCTAGCAAGACAAACATTTGATTCCCTTTTTTCACCTTTTTAGAGTCTATAATTTGCTGAAAGTGTTTCATTTTTTTAATGGGATTTTCTGAGAAAAAAAATCTAAATTCCTAAAAGACTACAAAAATGCCTAATTTTCCCTTACACATCTACAGCTCTTACCAAATTTTACTACTCACTGGCCTCAAAGGTATGAAAGTATGTTAGAACAATTCCATGATCTGTGAAAGTGAAGCAACCTAAGGTTATTTTACATTTATAAGCACATAAATAAATATCTGAACAGTGCTGGGGTTGCAGTGAAATCAATGTACATAGCTTAAGTACAATATTCAGACTGCATATTCTTACAGCCCACTGTCAAATATTTGACTATTTTGACTACAAAAATCTACTGATATCTGCATGATAAATTACAAAGCTGCACCAAACAAAACTGCATTTCTTACAATTTGATACAGTATCAAATGTGAATACAGAACCCTCCCAAAACCTTGGAAGATAAATACACAATTTAGAATCTGAGATGAAAACCTGTCACACTTAAATCAGTGAGGCTTTTAAAAAAAGGCCAGGAATTGTTTACTTACTTCCTAACACATAATTTAAACTAGAAGTTGAATACTTTAGAGAAGTGACCACAACTAAGATCTCCTTGAACCAGAACTCCATGTACACAAGAAAATACACATTAATAGAGCACAAGGTTGGTTCTGTAAAATTGGTTTGGTATTTATAGTATGAAAATAATTTTTTCTGTAACTCTAGTAACCATTAATATTTGAGCTGCTGAATTATTGCTCAATAATAACTCTAACTGTGCAAACTTAAGACTTCATACTACAGAAACTTCATTAATGCAAAGATGTTGGTGTTCAGATCTTTATTTTTACTACCTTTTGCTACCTCCATTTTATCAAGTATGTTCTGAAGTGTCCCTCAAAGTGCAGGATTTATGTTGTATGCCAAAATCATCTAATGACATCAAGAGATTACTTCCAAAGGCCTTTATATCTATTATTAACAGGAACTGCCACCACAGCATGGCTTTGTATTCAACTCTGTCAAAAAGAATCATTTGTAGCTGATCACTTCCCCTATCTGGAAGTGTATGTAAACATGCATTTTATAGTAAGCTTAATAGCTTTGCCAACAACTCATATCAAAGAAGAGTTTTGCTTGTTGTCTGTATATTGAAGATTTCCATAACTTTCTGCCCTCCTGTCATACAGTAGACACAAAAGTTGTAAAGATAAGGGGGTCTCTTTATTATTTAATGTGAGTAAAACAAAACTGCTCCTTTTTGCTCATTTGCAAAGTGAAAACTTAAATACTTGAGATAAGTTTGCCTTGAACCCCAAGGCTGAGTTAATGCTACGGGGCAGCAGTGCTTCCCATTGCCATGCCAGAGGCTCAACTCCACTCCCTCACTGACTTGTCAACAAGACTCCCTTCCCCTGACCACCAGAAGTGAAGTGTTATCATATCCATTATGTAAGCAAACTGTCAGGGTCAAAGTAATTCCTTCTCAAAGCCTCTCAGTTCCAGTATCCTTACATCCCAGTCCTGTGTTCATAACCATTCTTACACTGACTTGTGGCATTGGTGGTGTAGCCAGTAATAGATATAAAAACCATAGAAACTAACACACAGTGAATTTTTTGAGAAAACCTTGAAATAACCAAGATAATAAAAAAATCTTCAAGTATATAGATATTAATAATCTGCATATTTTCCATTAATGTTTGGTTAACTCAGCTTATATTGGAAAAGCAAGGCTGTCAGGTACCAATCATGTCCTTTTCTTGTTACATTTCCTTTCAAAACACAACATTAAACACCTGTACATATCTACAGCTTTTACAAAAATTGTAACTTGCTAGATCATGAAGAAGCCAACAGATGCTACAAAGTATTGGATACACTGAGGTAAGTTTTAAGAAGAGAGAAAACCTTTTAGAGTGGATCTCTGAAAAATTTCATTTGCCATTTAAAAGGAAAACTTTTTTTGTTGGCATTGCTATTTTTTAAAATGTCGCCAACTTAATAAACCCACTCAGCCCATTTAAATCCAATTAGCAGTCTCGGAAAGTTGTTCCATGGTTTAATTCACTTCAAAACTGTGAAACACATAAAAACATTACTTCGATGCACATCACAGCTTCAGTCACAGTTCAAAGACGCTGCCTACCACAATCAGTCAAGACAAAACCTGAGATTCATTAGCACAAATATCTTTCCCCTGTGCCCAGTGCCGGTAAGACGTTTGTAGCATACATGTATTGTTGTTTTAGAGATGTTTTGCTTCAGGGCAGAATGATTTTCTTTTTCTAAAGAAATCCCTTGTATGGAACCTAAGTACATAGCAATGACCATACTTACATTTGTCAGTGGGGCATGTGCAAACATGGAGAACCCTTCAAAGATATATTCATGGTCATCATACTCAATAACAGTAGGTCTGTCTGTCTTAAAAAAGCAAACAAAGCCACCAGGGAGTAAGCAAGAAGCACTACGACTTTTGTCACCAAAAACAAAATCAGTGTCCTAGTTCCAGTTATTTATAAAGTACTTACTAAGAAATTTGTGGGAGGTGACACAGTAATTCGGTAGTGGTATAGTCTTCCAGCATTGTTGGTCATAGGACGACATGGTTTAATGGGCTTAAAGAAAGAGATAAGTAGAATTATGTGTAAAGTCAAGGCAAATTTAGATTAAAAGAGAGAATAAAGCATTTCTAATAGCCATGAAATATGCATTAGGAAAAATTAAATAAAAGCAGGTAGTCATAATTAAGCATTCTGGGAAGGAGGAAAGGGTGGCCTTATCTCCATTTTCACTTTCAGAAATATTTTTAAAGCTATTCAAAAAAAGGTGCTTTTTTTTTTTTTTAATTTTGCATTTAACTCTCCATCTCTCTTACACACAACAGTTAGCTGTTTACATTCCAGACTGATTCATTTCCTCTCCTATATAAATGTGTTTCAGGAAACACATTTTAAAAGCTTATGAAGAGGAGCCTGGACATCACATGAGAATATCTCAAGGTACATCATCAGGACAGACAGGTATCAGCTCATTTGCTTGGGGGAAATCCGAGGCCTGAAGAGAAGGGATTAGTCTATCACCACAGAGATGGCTCTGGAAACACCATTTTATCTCCCAGGTTGTAATGCTTGACTTTGAGATCCAAAGGCAGCCAGACACCTGCAATTTCATGTTTCCTTCCAGCATGTACTGAAGCACTCCTGTAAAGACCTAAACCCCTCAAGAGTCAGACAAAATCAGTTTTTCATGTGCCCTACATACAACTTGCTGCAGTTTGGAGGCTGCCACCAGCCTGTTTGGAATACACTGAAAAAAAGAATAAAACCACTGCAGTGAGCAGGGTACTATTCTGAACTGCAGAACAAAAGCTGGCCTGTGGCAATGGCAAGGTAGCTACACCACTACACTGCTCTGGCAGTAAGGAAGGCGATTTCATTGGCTCTTCCGTCCCAAAATAAGCTTCTACAGATGCAACAATGCAGCTGCAAACAAGCTAGTTTCAAAACTAAACAGTTTCACCTACAGGACACTGTGAGAAGTATTATATCCAAGGAGAATTTGTGAAACCTGGGATTCCCAGATGGCACTGTTCCAGGGAACAGCTGCAAGTTTTCAGCAAGTTCATGTAGCAAGTTTTATATATAGTAGTTTTCTCCTCCTAAATTTTCTTCTCTTTCTGCAAGAAGAACCTTAGATGCAACATGGGGAGGAATAAATCCTGAACTGGAGAAATTTATAATAAGCTTCAGACCAAAGTGATTTTTCTGAACTCAAATAATTCACAGAAATGTTCATAACTCCTTAACCTCACATAAATAAACAATTGTTTCATAAATATATGTAAGAAGGCCACCTTTTTTTTCAAAATTTTTAAGAAAAAGTACAAAGATAAATGGTAAAGCCTACATGCTAAGGCAAGAATGCATCCTGACAAGCCTTCTGCTTCTTTCAGCAGCAGAATTACTGTTTACTTTTCTTTTAAAGCAATCACTTCACTAAGTGGGCCCGTCACAACACATTCAAGATACCAGATCTTTGATCACAAGTTCTTTTCTATTAACACAATCATGTTTCAGAAACTTAAAAAAACAAACAAACAAACCTAAAGCTAAACAAACACAGGAAAAAGTTTTCTATACTTTCCAGGTGGATTTCATTACCAGTATTGCTTTTAAGTATGAGCTTAGGTAACTAAGTGATTTAAAGTTGCAAAAGAGGTTTTTTTCACTCAACCCATAAATCATGGGAAACCCCCCTCAAATCAACCCAAGTAGGAGTTTACAGCTGCAAGTTTGTATTCATAACTGCAATCCTTAGAATTACTAATACCTCTTCGCCAGGATAAATGCCATGTCTTATTCCTGTTCTCCGGGCTTTAGCACTGCATTTGCACAAAGGTCCATCATTCATCTGTCAAGAACAAAATAGGATTCTGGTTTTATTGAAAAGTGGTTTTGGAAAAGTATGTTAGTTTTAATGCCCTGAGTGCTGATGCTTCTAAATGCCTGTCATGCTTAGATTAAGTGGATGTTCTTAAGCCAATAAAACTGAAAACACTGTAGACTAATGTTAGAAAACTGCACAGAAGCATTAGAACTTCATCACTGATTCAGAAGAACAAGACACAAAAAAACATTCTCAGCAGAATTCTACCACCCTGCTACAATATACCTCTTTTCCATTGCTTATACACACAAACAGCATGCTGATTACCTAAAACAAAATTCAGGTCCTAAACATGCATGTGTCAATATTTACATGCTGAATTCTCCATATTCAAAGAGTTCCACTGAGCTCTCTGACTGAAAACCCATCCTCAACTAAGCCCTGTGCCATGGTACAAGGCTATCCTCTGAAATACAAGTAATTAAAAGATTTTACTTGGTACTTTAAAGAATTGATGGGAATGCTTCAAATCCATTCTGTGAACAGATCAATAAAAGAGATAAAAGAGGAAAAAATACCCACTTAAGTGTTCTGTATGGGTGCATCAAGTGCCTAAACCAAAAAGGGCCAATGCAATATAACATAAAGCTGCTGTCTTTCTTTTCACTTTTACAACCAAGATCAATGCAGACTATCACCTACTGCAACAGTCTTAAGCTTTCTGCTCTCACATTATGCTCATTGATGAAATCCAACATAAGAATCCCAGAAACAAACCAGAAAAAGAAATTAAGTTCCCAACCCCAGTTTGTAATCAAAATTTGAATCCAAGATGTTAAACTCCTTTTAGCCTTTAGAAAAAAAAAAAACCACAACAAAACAACCAAACAAACAATAAAGTTGCAATGCAATAGAAAAATCAGCAGAACTTTCCATGCTATTACAAGCAGTCTGAAAACAAACAGCATCCACAGTGGGGCTAAATGGCATCATCACACGTTAGATATAATGTGAAGACACCACAGGAAGCAAGAATCACTAAACCACTGTTACTGTTAGCTTTAAGCAGCTGGGATAGGGATGCAACCTTTAAGTTTTGATGTCAACCTCAGTTTCTTCAGACTGGCACAATGAATATGTGCAAAGGAACACAAGAAGCAGGACACTTCCCTACTTCTTTGGAAACTCAGTCACACAATCTTAACAATGGAGTGATGTGACAGCTTGTGTTCACACAGTTTTCCCCATACTCTGAGACCCTCGAGGAAAGAACAGGTTCAAAGAAACAGAATCATGCTCACAGGCAGAAGCATACTTTCTCATTGGCTTGTACAGCAACAAGACAGAAGAGAGTTAAAAAAACAATCAACAGCTAATTGCTCATCAGTACTCCAAAACTAAGCATCTACTGAGGCTATTTAAATAATCATCACATATTTCTGAAAATCTCATCCTTAATTCTTAGCACTGCTCAGCACGAATACGGCCTCTGTTATTTTAAAAACAAAGGCCAAAACTGAGAGAGATGTGAAGCACCTGCAAAGTCTAAGACTTGAGAAGCAATCAGATACATATCTATCTTGTCCCTAACAACACTGGTCATACAAAAAAAAGATAATGCAGAGATTGCAGAGAGCAATCATGAATTGATGGTAAAATGAAGGTGAGAGATCACAAATTTACATAGGCAATGCCTTCTATAACCAACAGAGCAGCACAAACAAGCTGATCACATTTGTAAGGCAAAAGCTACTGTGGTGGCATTGAATTTGTCAATTTATTTTCTGGCAACAGTCAGCACTGCTGGAGATTATCCAAATTAACAAACAAGCTTCTCAGATTGAAGGGCTGGGAAGATCCATGCCACTAATCTAATTCCATGTCAGATGGTGTACCTGTAGATGTCAGAGTGCACGGCAATCATTCCTGTTTTATTTATTGACAAAAAGATCCTTGACACATCAGATAGATACCTATGAAAACTTCAAATGTTTTCAAATAAAATCTACACAGAAGTAGTACAGCACTGATGGGCTCACCGTGATTGATTTTAGCCTTTTCAAGAAAGATGAAGAGTCAGTCTCAAGAAAATTTTTGGTAAAGAACGTTCAGCAGCAGGAAACTCATAAACCAAACATTTCTGGATCTATTCCTTCTACAGTTATTTCACTTTTTTTTCTGTTAATATTCTTCATAGAACATTACTTTGAAGTGTGCCCAAGAGCTACACAATTTTTTCTGTTAAATATCTAAACAGTTTGCTAATTTTGTTTTCCATACAAATAAAAACAGCTAGCTATGCTCAATCATTTTTTTTAACTAGAAGCATAAATATGAATCTGTAATAGAATATTCAACAGACTTTTGAATTACCACAGTGGCAATATGCATTCCAGTATCTCTTCACATTATGATTTGTTGCATGCTAAATTCATACATTACACAAAGTGACAGAAAAATAAATTTACTGAGGTGCCACATGAAATTAGAAAATAGATTGTAAAATATTTAAGTAAGAAAGATGAAGATAGTGGATTTGCAAACAAAAATGAGTCTTCTGTGCCATGTGTACATTCAAAACAGCACTTCATGAGCTCAGCAATTACATTTAATGAGAACTACAATCTCCATGCAATTACAAAAGAACCACCAGACAACAAATCAGAAGCAATAATTGCATATTTAAAACATTATTTATCATTATGAGCTGAGAGCTTAAGGCAAAAAATTTTTAAAGGATGTAAACATACTGCCTTTTCTCCAGTTGTGTACCTTCATCTCAAGGCTAAAAGGACAGCATTAGCACATTGTTAGCATTCAGTTTTTATTAACATTGTCAGACATGATTCCAACTGAATAATCCCCAGGATTAATTAGCTGGATCCATACTCTTGAAATCAAAAGTGAAGAGCTTTGAAGAAGATGAGAGAGAAAAGGGAAAACAGGGGTAAAGAAAGCATTTGAAATAGAAGTCATTCTGCAGGTTTGACAACAAGGCAAAATTTTCAATTTATTTAGAGAATGACCTTTTGACCCAGTACTTTTCCCTCACACCATACCTGTCCTGGATCATTGTACCACAATTCCTCATGGAGACGGTCAGGGTGTGCTTTTTTACGCTTAATTTCTGCAATGACGTCAATAACATCCGAATCTGAACTGCTGGAGCAGCTGCTGTCATCTTCAGAGTCACACTCTGACTCACTGGAGCTCTCTGACTCACACAGAAGAAATAAAGATGGCTGAAAAACACTTCCACATGCTCTCTTCCATAGCAATGCACTCTCTATATCATGAATTAATTTCTGGAGTTAACATTAAAAAAAAAAAAAAAAAACACACAAAAACCTTGGTCTCAATATCTCTAATCTCCTATGGTACTGTGGAGTGACTCCCTTTATTATGCATGTATTCTAGTCACTCATTTCCACAGATATCCTCAGCTCCAATTTAAATAAATGCCTTCCTAGCCAAGACACTTACCAGTATGCAAGTAAAGCTTATTTTATTCTTGGAATAAAAAGCAATGTTTCTTCCATTTTTAAAGTTTAGACATAAGAGCAAATATATTCAAATACTGTGAAACTATGGTTTCAAAGTACATATTTTTACTGAATATAAGACTCTCCTTAGTTGAAAGAAAAAGGAGAGAAAATGAGAGAACATCACTAGGAAAATGTTTCCTTTTTTTTTTTAATCAAGATGTATTTTTACACACATCATAATTTGGCATAAGGTGTTATTAAAATACATCATTGGAACACATAGTTTACACAGGTCATCTGTGCTCAGCTGAAATAAGAGTTTCCTCACAAAGTGTGGAAATGTATATTCCTAAAAATAACTTAAGTTTCAAAAGTTCTCGGATATACATCTGATTAATACTGAAGTCTATTTTCAGGTGCAAAATATGCATGGAACCTGTAAGAGTAAGCTGGAGTTTCAAAAGACTAACACAGAACTTTTCGATGTAATGTATTGAAATCATAGAATCACAGAATGGTTTGGGTTGGGAGGAGCCTTAAAGGTTATCTAATTCCAATCCCTTTGCCATGGAGAGGGATACCTTCCACTAGACCAGGCTGCTCAGTGTCCCATCCAGCCTGACTTTGAACATTGCTAGGGATAGTACATCCATAACTTCTCTGGGCAGCCTGTTCCAGTGCCTCACCACCCTCACAGTAAAGAATTTCTTCCATCATCAGCCTTTCATGACCTAAAAGAGCTCCAGGAGTGCACTGCTACCCCACGGCAACACACAATTGCTGCTAACACAAGCCAGAACAGAGACAGCCTTTACTGAAGCACAAAATAAGACAAACCACTAGCCACTACACAGCTGTAGGAGAAGCTGGCACGGACACCGAGTCAGCCCAGGGGAACAGTGAAGACATAGAGCCTTAGGGTTCTCCAGAAAGAGTAGAAAAAGAAAATGCCCTTGGCCCTATCATATTTTAGCCTGGAGCAGCAGGCTTTCTTCCTCAGAGATCTAAGGAATGAGGGCTTTAGACAGGTATGCTGAGTGTAGCAGTCATGTCCTTGATTTATCCACATGAAAAAATACCACCTTAAAAACCCTACACTTAACTTTGCTAGAGATTCTTGAAGGAATTCAAATACATGCAAATTCACTGTCGAAAAAAATGTGAAGAACTCCTTTACAAAAGTGAGTTCACATTTTATTTCATCAGTATTTAGTTTTTTTCTTTCCTCTTCATTGCATCCTTTTATACCATCACCGTGTAACCATGTAATTATGCCTGTATTTCAGCTTTGGAATTTTGATATGCGACTTTTTAATGAGTTACTAAGATAAGACCTGAGAGTTTGAAGCAGCTTACCTGGCCAACATGAAGCAAAAGTTTAAAAGCAAGTATCTATTGCTTAGTATCTAAAAAGCAAGTGTCTAAATTACTGTGATATGGCTACAAATTTCTTGAACTAAAGCAACTGACTAAAAAACACACTATGAAACACTGAAATGCTGGAAGTATGAAAAGAACAATAGTTTTCACAAAAGAAGCCAAGAAAAACAACCTTCACTGACTTCTGAGTAGACAAATTGCTATAAAAACCTCTGCCCTGTTAATTCAACCAGTATTCCCCCAATACTTGATGCTGCTGGATATATTTCAGTGTCAGAAGATCCACATGGGTGGAACAAGATAATGCAGATAATGTATGTTATGAAAACTAATACTTTTGCAGATGTCTAATCATACTAAGCAGAGCTGCACAAGAAAAATACAATACCGAAGAAAAGCTCAGATGTTTCTTTTTACAGCACTGAGTCTATCACCACTACTCTTGCTTGCTCTTTAGAAATATAAGACCAGGAGCTCCTCAAAGCCTCTCATGTGCCATTCTCTGGACTATCTGATCATGCTCAGGGTGTTTTATCCCATGGAAGAAACTAATATTCGGTAGTGCTTGATGTTCTCTATTCCCCCCTAGGCTTTCAGGGTGAAGAATTTAGCCCTACTTCCATCAAAAGCTACAGTAAAACTCCCATGGATATGAAATACAAATGAGGGATTTAAAAAAAGACTTACCAACATTATTAAATACAAACAACTGCCAAAAAACAACATTATTAAATACAAACAACTGCCAAAAGAGGTTAACGACAGATTATTTAATTTCAGAGCTTTGTCATCATTTCAGCCTACCTAAATCTTCATCCAGCTTGGTTTTTGGTGGCTCCCATGGTGGCCTGGCTGCTTTGGCCTTTGCCTGTCGCTTTCCTAACTCCTCATCAAACTTTTCATAGAGATCCCGGAGCTTGCTTGTTCCTACCACAGTAGAGTCCCCCTGTTAATAAAAAAAAATAAAATAACAGAACAAAAAAAGGACAGTCTTAAAATAGCACAAGAAGTCAACATCTACTAGCATTTCATGAAAAAAAAACAAAAAGGTGGGAAAGACAGATCTTTCAGTGAAACATGGGAATACCTAATAAAGCTTTAGAATATTACTACATTTCTTCACCAGGTGAACTAGAAGAAAAATTGTTTCATTTGCTGGTATAGCACTTCTCCAAGTTAGCAGGAATATACGGTGCTTAAGGCATCTCTGCTCACAGGTTAAACACAGTGTATAACAGGGAAAAAATAGATCTTTTCCTCCTGGAGACAAAAAAATGTACGCCTTTTCCATGTACCACTTATCTGAATGCTAACAGACAGAAGGAACTGATGAAAACAGAGAATAAGAATAAATGAAGCCCCTATGAGGGTTAAAAGACTGAGATGATTGGATGAGAGAAGAATTAAATGACACAAAATTATGATCCTGCTGAAGGGTTCATATTATAAAGGACTGTCTGCAGTCATTTAGGAGTTCTCACTGACATACCACTTGATCCATAGGGTCATTGGAATAATAGCTTTCAGAATGGGTACAGCGAACCCAGACTGGCTTAAGCAATTCCTCATCTTCCTCTTCATTTTTTTCAGATGCATTCTCTTCTGATTCTTTGTCTTTGACAGCAGTATAATTTTTCTCTTTACTGGAGCTCTGGTTTTCAGACCACCTTTCTCTGTCCTCCTCCCACCGTGTTCTCTTTCTCTCTCTGCTTGGAGACCGGCTTAGTGGGAGAAAGCAAACAAAAGCAATTCTGTTTATTATTTTAAAATGAAAAACAGTTTGCTTCAGATCAGTAAGTCATTCTATCATATAAATTGCAGCCTTTCTAGTTTTTAAATAGTTGCCTTTCTAGCTTTTAAAGTTTTTTATTCTTGCACCATAAAGAGTACAAGAGCAATATGTAGCTTTGAACTACTATAAAAATGACTTAAAATTAGATGTGCTTTTTATTTTAAGTAATATTCAATAACTAAAATAAAAATTACATGCGAGTTTAAATAAAAATTTTTACTTGCATTCTAGGCAGATTTTTTTAAGTTAGGAGCTCATTGGTAAAAACTAAGTCACATCAGTCAAAACTACAAGTTACAATAAGAAGTTTCAGAGCACAGCCCACAAACTATTGGTATGACAAAAGAACTTAAGTTTTATTAAAAAGACTATACAGAACCAACACTTCTGTTACTCTAACACACCTTTGAACAATACAAGGTGCATCACAACAGTAATGCTTTTGAAAGAGGAGTAAGGAAATTACTTACTTTTTTTTTAATCTCTTCTGCCTACAAAACCAATAATGTTGCAATATTTGCAACTATCCAGCATTCAGAAAGGAACAGCAACATAAGAAAAGTTTCTAAAAGATAATCTAATGATAAAGAAACTTTAAATAATTTTGGCACTTTACAGACTAGAAGACTTAAGAGAAAGTCTTTAGGACACAGAAATTCTCTCTCCAGAGATTCTTCTTGTTTCTAACTCTACAAGGTCTTGAGATATTTGCATGTATCAGTAAATGATTATAAATTTAAGACACTAATTTTTTTTTTTGACTTCACATGCATATACAAAACTTCACATGAATGGATAAACAGAGCCTCAAATGCTCATGAGATCATATGCAGCCTTCCTCACCTTCCTGCTCTCTTGTAATCCTTTTTGTAGGATCTGTCTGGTGATGGTGATCTTCTGCTGTCACGGTGCCGATGCCTCTCCCTCTCCCGCTCCCTTGAAAAGTTCAAAAAATAAGTTAAATGAGAAATCTGGTATATCATACATTCTACACCTGAAAGGAACACAAAAGCAGCCTAAGTCATGTTGTGCAAAATGACACCCATAAGCTGACTGCTAAAAACCCAGATGTTCTTAACACTGACCTTCAAGAAACTTGCAAAAGGCAGTCAAGTGTCCATGTCCTCCACCTTTGTCACAAAACCATCTATCTCAACACTAGGGGTAGTTCACACCATGCAGAGGTAACATCTACAAACTCCCCACAGGATTTATTATCAGTTTTCCTCTTCTGCTCTCACGAATGGCAAAGCAGATGAGGGAGCTGGGGTTGTATCCTCTGGAGAAAAGAAGGCTCAGGGGAGACCTTGTTGCTCCCCACAACTGCCTGAAAGGGGTGTGTAGCCAGATGGGGGTCAGCCTCTTCTGCCAGGTAACAAGCAACAGAATGAAAGGAAACAGCCTCAAGTTGCATCTAGGGGAGATTTTATTTGGATAGCAGGAAAAATTTCTCCACCCAAAGGGTTATCAACTAATGGAATAGGCTGCCCAGGAAAGTGGTGGTATCATCATCCCTGAAGGCACTTTAAAGAGATGTAGACGTGGCACTTAGGGACACCATTAAGTGGAAGAGTTAGCAGCATTAGGTTACAGGTTGGACTTGATGATCTTAAGGATATTTTCCAACCTAAATGATTCTATGAAATTACTGTATTTATTAGGCAGGAAAGATCACACAGGCAGCTTTCATACTCTGCTAACAGCTAGCAAGTCATTGTGCATCTGTTCTAACTTCTAGTCTGCTGATACACTAGAAATTATAAACAGCTATCGCAAGTGGCTTGGTGGGTTAACAGAATGAGTGAGAATTATTTATGAACATACATATATATATATATATATATTTGTTTCTGTGCTCATAATACCAAATAATGCAAATTTACAAAGCAAAATGTTTGCATAAATTATCTATTGTTTTTTTCCAGTCCAATTTATCCTTGTTTGTTGGTGCCTTGTTAATGGATTTCAGTCTTCAGAGAGAGCATACTTCATGACATCTGATATGCCTGGGAGACAGATGCTGCACAAAAAAAAAAAAATCAACCCCAAGTCTGTCAAACAGTTCTGAATCAAAATAAGTAAATACATTATCAAGTAGATCTGGAAGCTGTTGGCCTAAAGCAGCAATCCAAAGTGTGTGAGAAAGAACCTACTGAAAACATGTATTTTCAAAACTTAAAACTGAAGCTTGAAATTATGCAGAAAAAAGGAGAAAACTCCACAAGCATGTTAAACAGAAAAGGCCAGTGCCTTAATGCCATTTGCATTCAGTTTTAGGAAAACTCTTTTTTGAAAATAAAAGTAAACCTACTGCGTGTGAGGTTCGGGTTGCAGATTCAAAATCAAGATTCTGTAATTAAGTCTCTGCATATCTAAATCAAAGAGGCTTCATTTGCACAGGCTTTATGTGTAAATTCACGTTCCACATGTGGTATGAAAAAATTCTGAGCTTTTAAAATTAAGAGCATGTGATCCAGGAACTGTGATAAATACTTAACTTTCCAGTAGCTCTTTGAATATTTTGGCAAAGCTCATTAGACACATTGGCTCACATAAAGAGCTACAAACAGAACAAATCTAAGACATGAGAAAGATTTAACTAATGATGGTTTGCTCTAAAACACGCCACAGCAAATTACATCAGGTCAGCCCATAATTTCCAAGCTATTTGTGTCCATGAGAGGGACAGACATTTTATGATAAATCCCAAAAGTAATACACACACTGAATGACATCTGAATGACATCAGTGAAGCCTACAACTGACCCACCTTCATTTTCACCTCGGGCCTCTCTTGAGGCTGGCTTGCTGAGGTCTTCACCCTGAACAAAAGCTCTTCGCAAAAACAACTTACTGCAAGTGTTAGTGTGGGAACCCAAGGCACAGGAAATATTTCTCTGTCTGCTCTGAGGGGACCTGACTCACAGAGAAGCACTGACTTTGACCCTCATTCATGGAGAAAGCTTCCAAGACTTCAAGACAGACTAGAAACCAGAAAGTGTGAAACAGATTATAGAGATTAGTATGGCACCTCACTTGGGTGAGAAATTTAGGTTTTGGGACTTTTACTATGTTGTAAATTGGAACAAGATAGAGGTTTTAGGGTGGAGGCAGTTCGTTCTTCTTCGCCTTCTTCTTCATGGGTTTGGATGATATCTCATAATCGGGCAGGAGTCCTCATTGCGGGCTTCAAAGGATCAGTTATTGGTTAAAAGGTAAAATAATCTAAGTGTCATTTCTTAATTGGACAGTTTAGTCTTAAAAAACCTTGTAACAAGAGATTGTTGGCCATTTTTGCGGTGCTTTTCCAGCGTGCAGAGTCTGGTATAGATGGCGTGCAAAACTTTTGATAAGGTAACAATAAACAAGAAGCTGAAGATCAAAAAAGTCCTGTGCATCTCCTTTTCCTGACACAGAACAGCTCCAGAAGGGTTTTCCCCCTGACAAGGGAACCCCCAGAGAGGAGCCCAACGTGGGGCAAAGAAACCGATATATTAGCTATGGGCCCCTATCAGACTATAAACTTCACCAAGTCAGTATTCCCTGTAAATCCAAGGTTTACTGAAAGAAAGCAACACCCGGCACCCAAATCTTGAAATTTGAAGTGCTAGGGCTTAATTGTAAGACTCAACTTTCTATAGTCTTACAGTGCCAACTCTATTTTCCTGCCACGTGTGCATTCATTTCTAAGGTAAATATGTTGAGCACTACTCAACCATCCACTCAGTGGGATGCAAAGAAACTGTTGTTTGAAAAACTATTTCCATGGACAAGAGCAACAAGTCTGCCAGCTCACAACTGTGAGGCAAAGCAGTGCACCTGAAAGGTGTCTAAACAGTAATTTTTTCCATGAGACCTGATTACTGGCTACTTCCCAAGCTAGAGGGACAAACAAGGGTAACGGAAGAACATTGATACAAACACACATTATGGGCCATGATGACATCTATCCCCCTGCAGGCAGGTAACTGTTACCTGTTTCGCTCATAACTTCTGTGATGAGGCGATATCCTTCCTCTCTCATAATCCGTCCGGTGCCGACTGCTTTCCTGCCTCCTCCTATCCGGACTGCGGCCCCGATCCCGACGATCCCCATGGTTGGCGGAGCGATGCCTGTCGCCGTGAATGTGCCCGTGCTCGCGGTGCCGGTGCTCATCGTAGTGCTTGCTCCTGTCAGGGGAGCGCCGGTCGCTTTGGGACTTCTCTCCCTGGTACTGCCCCGTGTGCCTGAAGTGGCTGCTGCTGGCGCTGCTGCCGGCAGCGCTGCTCGGGAAGGAGCCGGAGCTGTGCTGGTAGCTGCTGAAGCTGGGCGGCGGGAACGACTGCTGCGAGTAGCCTGCCGAGTACACGGGCTGGTAGCTGACTTGCTGCGGCATGACTGGCGGCGGGGGAGGGTGTGGTACCGTGGGGGGAGGCATCATGTAAGGAAAGGTGCTTTGTCCAGCAGGTGCTCCTGGCACGGGAGTGTTGCTAGGGTTTGGCACTGGTGGAGGAGTGGGTGGGAAACATGGAGGCACTGGGAAGCTCTGCCTCATCTGGTGGTTTGGAAATGGTGGCCTCATGGGACACTGGCTGATGGGATTTTGTGTGGAAGGGGGCACTGGAGGAGGATAGGGCACAAAGTCTGGCCTGGGAGGCATGTAACCGGTGGCTGGAGGGTTGGAGTAGGTTGTTGGAGGAGCAGTTTGCTGCTCATACTGGTACTGCACGGAGGGCTGCTGTGGGTGGAGCTGCCGGAGGTTCTGAGGGCGGTAGGTCTGTGTTGAAGTCCTTGCTCCTGGTCCCCCCTGGCCACGGGGACATCCTCGCCCAGAATGGAAAGACATGGCTCACCTTTATTGAGGAAAATAAAAATGCAGTGTCACACAGTTTTTGTAAGATGTCTTCAATGCATCTGCAGGAGCTACTCCTGAAGCGCTGAAACTGCAGTTTCCTTTAACAGAAGCAATAAATGATATCCACTTTCACTGGGAGCTTTGTGCTCCTCAGACATTTAGTGCAGGCCATTTATGCCCCTTTAGATTCCTTCAAGCCTCTAATCCATGAAAGCACTTACTGTCTTCAAGCCAGAACGCAAGCTGGATCATGCTTTACGAGTTAGGGCAATGTAATTTCAACAAATTATTGTAATGATGGCAGGTCAAGGATACAAGCACCTCCACTAGGACTTTGACACTTTGATATAAAACCTTTGGATACCCCACACCAAAGAAATCACTCATTATTATAACTGCAGTGGTTATCCAAAGTTGTATAAGAAGTTCTCTCTAGAACACAATTCTAAATTTTGGGCAGAATGACTTGACTAACAAATCTTTGGATGCCTCCTGGCCAAACAAATCATGTCAACTTTAAATTAAATACTAGCTTGCTATTGAGTCCCCAGTGTACTAAAGACTGAATTCAACAGACCCTTCAAACTGTTTTAAGTGAGGTACGTATATTTTTGTGGAAAAACAGGTTACACATCTTGCAGGTTATGAAAAAAAAAATCATGCAGACTGTGCTATTCCTTAATTTTCATTGAAATAAATGATTCCAAATAAATCCCTCAACTGCCTTCTTGACCCTGTTACCCTTGAGAAACCATCACTGCTTAAAGTAGGCTTAAGTGTTGCTCAAAACAAGGCATGTATTTAAGGCATTAACATTTATAAATTAAAGCACTGTGCTTCATTAAAGTTTAAATTGATTTTTTAATTGCAATGGTAAGTTTCAAAACCTGAAAAAAGGAGAAAAAACACTTAAGAAAATTTATGGCTGGAACGGAAGAAGAGGTGAAAAAAATGATCTAAGCACCTCCAGAAGTCAAATCCTGTTTTCCATAAGGGGAAGTGAGAAAGAAAGGGGAGACACACACAATTGGAAAGATCACCAGAAAAAAGAAACAAAGCCTCCCTTTCTCTGAGGCTTTGCTGATGCTGAAGAATACACATGCACAGAATATTCTCCCACCTGCTATAGTGCAACATGGCCAACCTGGACTGCTCAGAGCACTGCTCTCAGCCACATTCCGGTGACACTGCAGTAAAAGTTGTAGCACTTGCTGAGAGAAAGCAGACAGCTTCTGGTGAACTGGAGGGAGAAAGGAAATGAAACACAGGGGCAAAGGACGGATAGCAAAGATGAGGAATCAAGAGGACCCTCCTTACACATGCAGTGCTTAGTGGAAGCCACTGGAATTGGTGGTAGTATTCCCTCTCCAGAACAATCAAATGCCAATGTGAGTGTGATTCCCACACTATGAGGAGATAGCAGCCATGATGGTATAAAGCCA